ATAGTAGTGTACAGTGCATAGAATAGAACCACTGCGCACGCCAAGTTCTGAAATTCTCAGCTAAGCATCGGAGATCTTAGCGTCGAAAAGTAATGAAGGATGAAACATAGAGAAGTTTGATTTTTAAAATTCCTCTTGTATTTGTTTGCGTGAATTACAGTGTGTCATGTATTAGCTTGGAAAAATGCTCTTGGAATATTGCTTTGTCATGCCGTTGGAATCACTTAAGAGTAGGAGTGTTCAGCAGTTACCAGAAGAGCACAAAAATATGTAGATGTTAAAAATGCTACCGCATCGGAAGCCTCGCTTGTCTTCTCGACTTGCTCGCTTATTGCAGTTCTCTCCTATGATAAAAACGAAAAATGCTGAAATTTTTTCTTCTTTCTAATTGCAATAGCAATAGTTGAAAAAGCTGATTCGCAACATAACCTTAATTTTTTGCTTGATAACATCGGGAGTCACTTCAACGTGATTATTGTGTATAGCTTCTTGGCTTTGCTGACAGATTTTGTAAAGCCACTTTCTTCCCCTCGTTGCAGCACTGCGTGTTCTAATGACTCCATATAATGGAGCTACTGCCTTTGCATGGAATAGCCACTGGAGGATGGCGAAGATTGGTGAATTCCCTTCTTTGAGGTTCAACGTCCCGTTCGCCTGGGTCCCCAGTTAGATCCATCTGTGTTGGGGTAAGATCGTCATGACGCAGGTGCTTTCACTCGTCGGCGTCCAGATGTGGGAAAAGGCGGTGCATTCGATACAGTCCGAGAAAGGAGAACGATTTGTCTAGTCCAGCAAGAGAATGGTTTCGATCAGGTCAATTTCTAGTGTTGCTCTTTTATTTTAATGCGTCTTGTGTGTATCATAAATAAATAGATAAGTGAATCTCAAATCGTTCTATTTATTCAAGGATGGCGCTCCCAAACAGCAATCGCTGTCCACGGGGATCTATTAGGTATTCCGAAAGTAATGTCGCTTTTACCAAGTGAACGCCACATTTCATGGAATCAAGATTTGCAAGAGTTCTTAGGAGCATTCGATGCAGCATTTCATCCTCTTTCTAATGATCGTAATCGCGTTGCATATTATTCAATGAGCTCTCGAAAAATTACTGAAATCTGCGGCCTATGCTTTTTGCCAAGCTCAAGTTCGGCTATTTTTCTGAATTTTTGTACATAGTCTTCGAGGAAGTACAAGTGACAGGTAAATGGTGCAAACCCTATAGGACACTGTGTTATTTTTTTCTTTTTCTTATCTTGCTTCTTGGAGTTTCTGGAATCACTTTTCAATGTCATCAAATTCCATATTTGGCCAAATTAAACCTCAAAGAACAATAATCGGCAAGCAACTCGGGTGTCGATGCAGCTTTTTCTCCTCTTTCTGATAGTTGTTTTTTGTTTCCGATTCATCAAGCTTCTCGGAATAAAATCATCATAATTTAGGTTTTCAAGGGCGCCCTAGGCTGTACCCGGAATTTTCGAAAGTTGGTAATCTGAAGTGGTGAATGCTCATTTGGTTTATAAAATTAGTGTCAAACCATAATCCAGCCTTGTAAGTTTTGAAATCCGAAAATTTACTGGTGTTTGATGCATTTGTGTCTGAGACGAGCCTGCTGAAATTCGGTGGTCCCATCAAGAAATCTATACAAAAATTATGACGAGCTCTGAAAAGTAGAAAAAAGTTGTGCTGTCTCCTATAGGGTTTGCTCTATCCATTCATTACTTGGACTCCGTCCGAGGTTTGTTATAAAAATTTAGAAAATTTGTGAAACTTGGCCTTCTTAAAGAGCATGGGTCGCAGATTTTGATGATATTTCGAGAGGTTATTGGATTTTGTGCAGCGGTCATATAACCACTAGAAAGAGAATTAAATGCTGCATCAAAAGCTTTCAAAATCTCTTACACATCTTTTTTCCACGAGATGTGGCGTACGTTTGAAAAAGCGACATTATTTTCGGAACCACCTAATATATGGAGTCATTGCTAAATACATAAGAAAAATCATGATACCCACTTGTATGAAGAGAGTAAAAAGGAATGTGGTTCATTAGCTTCATTACTTTCAGAAGTACTCAAGTGCCTGATGGTTGCACCTTCCAATTAGATTCAGTCACTAATCAGCTTGAGCTCGTACAGGGTCATCAAATCGATGCAGGCGACTACGCTGTTCAAAGAAAAATGTTGCATATCCTTTACCAAAATTCTTTAGCTAAACCACGAACATTACCTTCTTTAGCCCAACCTTACTTTCCAAGACTTATTTGTGACATCCCCAAAGCTCGAGTAGCTCAAGCTTATCACTGTGTAAATCAACCACGATTTACAGCGTACATACGTGTGAAAACTGCAACTGCTTCAAATTCAACGATTATCAAAACTCGATTATGCAACATACCATAAGAAGAAAACCATAGAAGTAAGCGAATCTGCGCATCACGTCTTCAACAGTTGTTACTTTTATTGTTAACGAGTAAAACAAGTTTACCTTCTAACAGGATCATGTAAGCATGCCTAATGTGCTTTTTTAACAGTAAACTAGCTTTGCGCTTTGCATAGTTTGCTCTTTTATTGTAGGTGCAGCAAACTTTCACAGCTCTTATTTGGCAATCTTGGGTGGGATACTAAAGGATATATTAAATGATAACATTTTCAAAATCGACCTGTTTTCTTGGTCAGTACACAACATCAGATTGAGCCCAAATTTGCCTCTCGGCAATATCGTTAAGCAGTCGCGCCCTTTGTGCAGAAGTTAAACGGTAGACGATTAATTTGATTTTTGTCTCTACTGAAGTTCATTCACGACTTTACTACATATAATTAGCAAGTTAATTCGGTTTTTTCTTCTAGCGAGATTTTTCTCTGTCGCTTTCCAGTCGTGAAGAATCCGAAATTCTTTGACTATTCAGCGAGTATGAATGTTTCAATAACGAAATACTTAGTTCTAATGACTGACTGTAATTTCACTGGACAGATAATTTATCAGACTCACTCTAACTTTGTTCAAGTTCTGGTTGAAGAAGGTCGCCTTGGCTTTGACCTAAATACGGAGAGGGGCACATTGGCAAGTATGCCTCCATTTCAGAGCGTGGTATTCAGAGCGTTTGTTTGTAGCTTGTCTACGCTCCTGTCGTATGAACTTTTGGCAAGGATTTATTTCGTTTGCGGGGAGGGTGAACTAAAAAGGAAAAAAATTTGAAATTTCTGTTCTTCTCAGTTGAACTTCACATAATCCAACACCAAATCATTTTTTCGTCGTAGTTTCTATTATCACGTTCTCTCTAACGCCAAATGCCACTATTGATCCAAGTGCAGATTCTAATTATCTAAACACTTATCAAGGTCCTCAATACCTACGCTTTAAAGGACTTGTATAGAAGGATTTGATAAAAGTCTCATCTAAGAAACTATAGAAGGATGAGTTTGTGTTTTGTCATATAGCTTATAAATGAACTAGCTGGCTTACCCGGCTCCGCCGTATCCGGACCAAACTTGGCACACATACACTTCGGGCCGCGGCGGATGTCACAGTCCACTTTTCGTTATCGATCGATGTCGATTTTATCGATTTTTATCAATTTTTTTTGCAGAGTTCACCTACGGGGCTGGGAGTTGGCACAGGGGGGAAGTGAGCATGGGGATTCGGAATACAATATTAGTTTTCAGAATTATCGATCACTTTTATTGATTTTATCGATTTTTTGTAAATTTTGACATGCGAGGCTGGGATTTTGCACAGGGGAGTAATCGAGCATGCTGATTACGAACACAATATTAGTTTCCAGGATCGTCCATTACTTTTATTGATTTTATCGATTTTTTTTGTAAAGTTTGACCTGCGGGGCTGGGAGTTTGCACAGGGGAGTAATCGAGCATGCAGATTACGAATACAATATTAGTTTTCAAGATCGTCCATTACTTTCATCGATTTAATCGATTTTTTGAAAATTTGAGCTAGGGGGCTGGAATTTGGCACAGGGGTGTAATCGAACATGCTGATCACCCCCCTTGGGGATGATCAGCATGCTCGATTACCCCCCTGCGCCAACTCCCAGCCCCCTAGCTCAAACTTTGCAAAAAAATCGATAAAATCGATAAAAGTAATCGATAATCCCGAAAACCAATATTGTATTCGGAATCCCCATGCTCGATTACCCCCCTGTGCGAACTCCCAGCCCCGTAGCTCAAACTTTGCAAAAAAATCGATAAAATCGATAAAAGTAATCGATAATCCTGAAAACCAATATTGTATTCGGAATCCCCATGCTCGATTACCCCCCTGTGCCAACTCCCAGCCCCGTAGCTCAAACTTTGCAAAAAAATCGATAAAATCGATAAAAGTAATCGATAATCCTGAAAACCAATATTGTATTCGGAATCCCCATGCTCGATTACCCCTCTATGCCAAATACCAGCCCCGTAGCTCTTACAAAAAAATCGATAAAATCGATAAAAGCAATGGACCATTTAAAAAACTAATATTGTATTCGTAATCAGCATGCTCGATTACCCCCCTGTGCCAACTCCCAGCCCCGTAGGTGAACTCAGCAAAAAAATCGATAAAAATCGATAAAATCGATATCGATCGATGGCGAAAAGTAGCCTATGACACCCGCCGGGGCCCGAAGTGTATGTGTGCCAAGTTTGGTCCGGATCGGTTTAGAAATGGAATTTTCTATTCGGAACATACGTACACACATACATACAGACAGACATACAGACAGACATACAGACAGACAGACAAACAGACATTCAGCTTTATATATAAGATACGGTCTTATCAAATTTCTGATGAGGGTATACGGTAAGTTGCACGTTGATCTAATTTCGGTATATATCAATCAGACCTTAAAAAATTATTTTATTACAGGAGCTCGCAAATTTGCATATTTTTATTCAATCTTAAGTTATGCTATATATTTTGCGAAGTTGCCAAAATTAGGTAGCAAAAAAATTTTCACATTGCTTTCATTTTGTTTTCTGAAATTCATTTGGAAAAACCTCTTATTATATCTTACGACGCACTTGGAGCCGCTGGTTCGTCACCTGCTGCCGTACCCTTAAAAAGGAATGTTCTTTGTTTTTCTTAAAAATGAAGACCTTACTTTTTTACTAGCCCTTCAATGTTTACTCTGTCACTTTGACCATATCCTCGTACCTTTATAACGTGATACAGCCACCTGAAATGTTGCAATTGTGGAAGTGTTATTAAACAGTAAATTCGCAATCATACCCATTGATTTTAGTGAGACAGAAAGCAGGAGAATTGTCTGCATTATTTTGGTAAGGGAACTCCCAGTTTACGTCTGAAAACTAGGGCTTATTAAGAAAATTGGTGTTTTGTGTTAATCAAATAATGTATCTTGATTGTGGCACGACAAGGAAAGCGTTGAATGACTATAGAATTTTTGATATTGATGTACATTGAGGAATTCTGCAGCAACAAGTTCTAAATCACAACAGCCGAACAAATTTGTGATGACGGTCTATAAGCCGGAAAGTCGCCGTTTTTTAAAAGCGAGGGGGGAGGAGGGGGGGGGGGATACTCCTCCCTCCATTGAGAATGGGTTGTGGAATTTTTTGAAAAATCCCTTGAGTCATAAAAATGTGCAAGTAATTTATTCGCACCTTTAAATAATGGAAATAATTTTGAAAATTCTTCGAAATCCAGTTCAGCCTTAAGAAATTTTTCCGAAAACGCAGCTGGATTCACTCAAAAAATTTGGGTGCGTGGCTAATGCTACTCGTACCTTCTCCTCCCTCCCCCCTCCCCCCCCCCCCGAACAGAAATGCTGGGTCCGCCAATGAGGCATTGCTAGGGTAAACAAAGAGGAGATAATCTTTGCGTATACTATCCGATTCTTCAGTTAATCTCAAGAAAAAGTGTCAATCGCATCGAGGTAGAGAGCTATATGTCGTCGATAGGCTCCCCCCCCCCCCCGCGCGGACAGTTGCTAGAGATCCGTAATGTGTGTGACACATATGGGTGCGTGGCTTGTCGCAAACGTCTGCATGGGACCACCTCTTTTCGGCGACATTTAGTCTTCCACCCATCGCATCCTTATGTCAAGTTGACTTAGCAGCTAACAGTGAGTATTATGCACAGATGATGATTGTTTTATAGGGTATCAAAAGATGAGTATATAATGAGACATGCATGAATTAGACGCGAAGAAGTGACACTACGAATAAGAGTTAGATATCTTGTAAAGTTTGCTTCTGCTCTGTCGAATAACATATTTTTTAGGTAATTCCCTTCACATAACATAAGGAAACATAGAAACAGCATAACATGCTTTGACCCACCGGGAGTCGCGGCTGCGGGGGGGGGGGGAGGGTGGGTAGAGGTCACGTCCGCGCGGCCGCCTCGCTTGGCTCTGCACTCCTTTCGCGATCGTGTTCTCTAGGCCGGTAGTAATCCCCAGACCTGGCGGCAGGTCTCGTCGGCAGATCGCTGGCTGGCACCTTTCCGTGAGGTGGCCAGAAACTAAAATCCCAAATTTAGGCCGTCCCAAGCCTTTTTCCAAAAAATTTTCTCGATGAAGATGCCACCTCGACCCTATAGAAACCTCCATCAAAATTTGCGGTTCCAGAAATCCTCCTGTAGAAAAATATCTCGGAGCGCAGGAGGAGCTGCCGGCAACTTCGCGAGGTCAGTTGCCGGCAACCTGCCGGCAGCTCGTCGAAATCCGCGAGATGGCAGCTGCCGGCAGGTCAGAGAGCACGAGAAATAGCGTGCTCTTTTGAGAGAGGAAGCTGCCGGCATCTCGACATGCCCCTACTACGTCGAGGTGCTGGCCCCTTTGCCGACGGCGTCTGCGATTTTGCGAATTGCGGCGATATCACACAATTTACGTCAGGCGAAAAAAATCAAATATTCTACTTTTCATCAAAAAACTATCATTTTTCTCATTATATGAGTTTTTCTTTTTTAAAACGATGATTTTCTTACAGAGAAAAATCCAGTAAAGCCTTAGAATCATAAAGAACATTATCTTTTTTGGCAATCCCTTATGAATCTCGTTTGCACCGATTTCGCCTCTCTCTCGCTCATATCAATCAGCTGTTCTTTCAGGTCAAAGTCTCTCACGCAATGTATCGATCCCTCTTACAGCCAATTACCAGCGTGTTCCTCCTATTGCTAGTGCAAACGGCAATGGCTGACCGAATGGTCGAATGGTTAACGTGGTGACACTTCAAGTTAACGCACATAGGTTTGACCGCGCGCGAGGTAGCAATTTCGCGGCTGTCTGCGTCATCAAAAATTAATGTGCGAAATGATGGCGTGCCAAGGCTACATAAGATTATTAAAACCTACAATTACTCCGCGAGCTGCCGCCGAAGATGGCAACTTCCCGCGATGTCTGCCTACTTGCCGGCATCTTTGACGCCACCAGGTAGGGTAGATTACTACCGGCCCTGGTGATTGAACCGCCTTTCCCACACTCGTAGTGGGAGAATGCCAGAAAACACGCTTACGAAAAAGGTGCAGAGTCGCAACCCCACCCGCCAGCTGCCACTCCCGATGAATCAAAGGGTATGCTGATTTTGTGTTAAATTATTATATTTTGTATTAATGTAATTGCTGCACTCAGCAGCAATTGCTTCAATGCTCTTGTTATCATAAATCAGTAAACTCCGAACGAAAGCCTCAATATGCTTGAAGACAGTGTCCTGGCACTGAAAACAGAAACTTTTCGCTTATCTGAGTTTACTCAATCCGCTGATTCCAATTGGCGGCACAAAAATGTTGTGAATGGGCTTTCTTTGAAGCCACCAGATTTGAAGGGAAGCGAAGCGCGCTAAGAATAGAACCTGTGGGATTCCACGATCATGTCTAGACAAACCTCAAGACTTCCGGGAGGCAGTGGAAATCTCTAGCAATTTCGGGGCGCGGTCTTAACAATTGGAGCTGCCGCGTGGAGCCTGCGTGGGCGGTCCGCTCGCTTTGACGCCACAAACGCCTCGGCACAGGATCCGGGGCACGTGCTCTGGAAGTGCCAAAGATCTGCAGGGCTTGGGAGACCTAGTATCCATACGCAGCCAATTCACAACGCTGATACTCAGCTTATTCATTTTCGAAAAATAAAAGTCTTTTTGAAGTACCAGTGGTTTTTTTTGCGGAGTTACATAGGTAGGTGCTAAATTTAGTCGGTTGACTTTTCATACGATGAGCAATTCCGAGGTGCGAGGTGTGAACACCTACGGCTAAGTGTCAAGTCTCGCACCTCCGCGTTTAGTATACTGTAGAGAGGGGGGGGGGGAGGGGGACTTTTCATACGAATGCTTCCACATCATCTTTTGGCAAAGATCCAGTAAAAACTGGTACCATGCCAGGTTTGGGCCTGCTTGCTCCATTCCGAAAAAAAACATCTAGATTAGCTTTTGCAGTACCGCGAACTTGGATAAATTTGGAAAACTTGAATACTGTATGGATTCAAAAAGTGTTTTGCTGTGAAAAATAACACTATGATCGTTCCACTTACGAATTTTTTAGTATTCAAGTCGACATAAATTCGGTCTCTTTTGCAAAATTTTTGAACTGATTTGAGTATTGTCACATGCCTTTCCGACCTTTCAGCATGACCTGGAAGTGTTACTCTTCCCATAGGGGATATTATAGGGGGAAGACGGTCAAGAGGCGCGATTTTTCTAGGTGTCATCGTTCATTGACTTACTAGCTGTTTGAAGTAACCACTTGATAAGTTTGACTACTTTTGCTAGAAAACTGGCAGAAATATCTACAATATTGCTGTTAACTGCATTTTTATGTGTTTTTGACCTTTAACAATTTTGTTTGAAATCGATTTTAAGATGATGAGATTGAACAATCCCTAAATTCCCTAATATATTTCTTTCGAAACTTCAAGTAATTCTAGAGCTTCATAAAACACTAAATATGTGCTATATGCTGCCCATCTGGCATTAGGAATCGCGCCTCTTGACATATCTACACCCATTGAAGGGCATGCGATTTGACAAAGCGAACCATTCATTGCCACAATTGTGCCAGTGTTTGCGAAAATGAATTCGCTGTGGCCTGACGATCTTTATTATGATACGCTATTTCAACCCGATAAGCTTTATACAACAGATAAAATCAAGATATTCTTTAGTTTACGCATTTTTGATAATAAACGTTTCATTTTAGTCCATTGCAATCGAAACTGGACGTATTACCAGCACCCTAACATACGCTAGAAGGTCAAAGTGATCGGGGAGCGATCGTATGAAAAGTCCCCCTCCCCCCCCCCTCACCTAGGCGTAGTGGAGAATCTTACTCATTACGTGGATGGAGAGGTGCGATGTAGGTGTGAGGTAGGTGCGAAGGCTAAGTGCGAAGTCCCCGATCGTATGAAAAGTCCCCCCCCCCCCCCTCCCAGTCGGTTGAACCTTACACTCTGGTCACTTGGCTTGCAACTTTCGTTTAGCAGATCTCTGTCATTCTCTATGCTGGCTCTTTCCGAGAATCTCCGAATTTCGCAATCTTTGTATAAAGCTGAATGTCTGTCTGCATGTCTGTACGTATGTTCCGACTAGAAATTTTTATTTCTGAACCGATTAAGACCAAACTTTGCACACTTACACTTCGAGGCCCGGCACGCGTTAGTTTGGAGCATTTTTGGAAACTAAGTCCCCCATGACTTCGCGAAAATTCACGAAGTCCCTCTTGACGTAAAAATCAGTAGACAAACCCTTACTCAATCAAAATAACAAAAAGAGCGAAAAAAGCGTATTTTGAGGTGCCTTACATAACAAAAAAGCAAAAAGAAAACATTTCGAGTTGTTAAAGGCTCTGACATTGGGAGGGTACCATTTTAGTGCTCAGAATGTCAAAAATCTCTTAGGCCAATCAAATCTGTGGCCTCAACAATCTAGCGATGTCTTTTTCGCCACATAGTTCAAAGGACACCGCATGTGAACGGAGCGCATTATTCATCGACGCATAGATTTACACTACTTTTGGCTCAAAAAAAAAAGAGGAGAGGCAATGGTTTGATTCGCTCTCTTCACTATATGATAGATTTTTGATCATTCTAATCGTCCAAATCAAAAGGGCCAAAATTTAGGTGAACTCTCCGATATTTATGCTCCGAACCACCCCAGTTGGTTGGTGTTGGGCTAGAAACCAACAAACCCGAGAACGGATGTTAGGTCACATGAGTTTTTGAGACTTTTTACATAATGTTGTTTGGAGTAATATTGTGTATCTACATAGCCCAAATTCGGAGCCATGTGATTGTTTGCGCGCAGTAAACAAGCCATTTGTTTGTTTGAGTCTTGCGTTTGAAATTCGCGCGCTTGCGAAAGAACACGTTCAACTCGTATAACCTGACATGTTCGTCGTTTTTTTATCGGCGCTTCCCCCAGGACCTCATAAAAACGATATCCCCGTTGCTTCCACTTTAAAAACGAAGTCCAGTTTGACCCCAGACCATCTGTGCCGGGCCCTGTTCGGAGTGAAGCAGGTGTCATAGGTTGCTTTTCGACATCGACCGATGTCAATTTTTTCGATTTTATGCGAAGTTTACAATATCAGTTTTAGAATTATCCATTACTTTTATCGATTTTATCGATTTTTTTGCAAAGTTGAGCTCTGGAGGTTGGCACAGGAAGATAGGTGAGCCTGCTGATTACTAACACAGCGTAATAGGGAAATTAGCATGTAGAAATGGGCACAGGGAATGGTTGTACGGAGATAGGGATGGGAATTTTATCATAGTATGAGAGGGCCGGGCGGAGCCGGGTAAGCCAGCTAGTCCTTTTTCAATCTCTAGGGTTGGGCAAGACTGCGCAGCTTACGCGGCGTACGTGACGTACCAGCGTACGCTTCATATCTTTATGCACGCGTGTGCAGTCTGGCTCAACCCTATAGAAGTTTGAAAATGCACTCATCTCTCATACCCTACTTACATATAGTAGGTTTGTATGGTCGTAATGAGCCCACGTTCTGTGGCCGTATTCATCAACGACGCAGTGGATTCCGCAACCCATTGGGTAGGCTTACCCAAGAGTCGGTATTCACGAAGCCAGTGGGTTCCGGAACCCAATAGGTGAAGCCTACCCTATGAGTCGGAACCCACTAAAACCACTCAACGGTATTCACGAACGAACCCAGTAGGTTTACGGACGCAGTAGGCAGCATACTGGCATTCACGAAACAAGTTACCCAGTTCTCGTGAATTCTGAAACCAAACCCACTGAACGCTGGGTTAGTGAGAAGTATGGTGCAAATTCGTCAGTGGGTTACATGTGAACCCAGTCTCTTTGCTGAATATTGTGTGGACTCCACCAGGGGTGGTTACTACTGGCAACACTTATACTTTGGAAACACTTTGCACTCAGTCGGCTCCGTGGAAACTCCGGACGGTAGCCAATCCCCCCTTCCCTCGGTTGGATCTAGGTCGTGTCTGAGTGATTATGGGCGTTACATGCACTCTGGCCTTGCGGTTCGAAAGAACGGCGCCCAGGCCTACAGTAAGATTCGGGTCACTTCCGGGACAAAGTTTTAGGCTTAGTGCCGCCTTTTTTACTCCGAACTTCTGTCATCGCTTATAGATACTACCACAACATCGCTACAAAATCAAACCCATTTTGCTGAGAGGCCGCCTTTGAGGGCTTTAATCTTTTATTAGCAATCTGCCAGCTGATTAGGATACCAATATGATAAGTGATAAACTAAGTATCTACGTTTATTACTTTTATTACTGGCGTAGCTAGCGTAGGATTGTTTGATTTTAATTTGTTTTCAATGTGCGTGGCTTCAGCCACGCGCTCAGAAAATTCTTTGGTATGTCTCCTGAAATACTTGAGGGCCCATAACCCCTAAATAAAGAAATGAAAGTTATATTAATTATTTACAAACATAAACAAGTCGCTTGCAAATTTTTGTAACTCATATAGTTACCTTCTGAAACTTCGCAACCCACTCTGGGGAGTGGGGTGGTCCCCTTCCTCTCCCTCCCCCCCCCCTCGTCTCGGTACGCCACTGCTAGGTACCACTTACCGCGAATGGCCAGAGCAGGATCCCGAACAATGATAACACCCCAGTCACCTCCGTGGACCTCCTCAGCAATTCGACGTATAACCTGAAGGAATGCGATTGTTGGATGTTTAGATGTTTGCTCTAACATTCGCCTCTTGAAGAACTATGCAATATGACCTCGTAAATTTTAATATCAATACTGACTTTGGAGAACTTACGAAGAATCTAAAACATGATTTTATTATAAGTTTGTCAAGATAATTTCGTTTTTCAAAAACCATAAGACAAACTCAAAAATATGTGAGGGGTACCATCGATAGAGCAAAGGAAGCTCTTCGACATGGTCTCCGAACATCGGCAGAAGTTGTTGTTTATGCATAGTTTAGAGCCAAAACATATGAGCAACTCCTGATGCCGAAAATTGGATTTTCGTCATAAAAAAATCCTGCAAATCTCTCACTTGCTCCTGCATGTAAAAGAACATGCACTTATTTATAGGTACACTTGCTATTTTTCCATGCTTAGAAACCAAGAAAAGATTGAAAATAGAAAGCGGCAGACTTCGCCGCCAGTAATACTGGGTTCCTTCCCACATATGACATTGTATTAGGTTGATGCAAAAATAATGGCCGTAGCATAAGCTACGGCCATTATTTTTGGCCATTATGTGAACATAGAAATTCACGAATGAGGTACCATTCGATAGAGCGAAGCAAGCTCTACAAAGTGGTTGCAAAGAAATTATCCAAACATCTACTCTACTAAAGTTTTATGCCAAAATCTGTGAGCATTTGGCCAGCTCAAAAATAGGAACTTTGCCCGAAGAAATCGTACAAGTCTCCCAATTAATCATCACATAGTAGACACATAGTAACGTTCCTTTATGCACTTGCTATAATTTTCTTTCGCTTAGAATTTGAGAAAAAACAAATCAAAAACGGGAATACTCCGCCTCTAACACCGCCCCTTTCTTAGAATCTAGGTGTTGTATAGAGCCTCCGAAGCATGACTGTGAAATTTCAGTTGGTATCTTCATTGATTTTTAAATTCAACAGCTTGCCAAAATCGAACATCGCGAAATTTAGACATAGGAGGTTGCTTGCACCTCAATCATGAGAACAAAGCAGGTCCGAGCGCACAGCATGCTGCCCTTGCCTAGAAAACCCCGTTATGCGCATGCCATTCTATTACGGGCGGACGAGCTTGCGATTCTCTCCGACCCGTCAGAGAAGGCATACCGCAGTGTTATAACTGCGAGGGTCCCGCAATGATTCTGCATCTCTATTCATGGCGGGACGTGCTCCACTCATCCAAATTCAAAATAGGAGGCTTTGGGAAATGATGGTTTTTGCCATTTTCGCGCTCTTCAAGGTGGATCTTCGGAATCAGCGCCTCGAATTACCCCATGTAAGCAAAAAAAATTCAAGTCGAGAATCTGCCTAGCCGCCGCCTTAAGTCACTTTTAGTGCTGAGAAATAGCCTACGGCCATTACTTTTGCATTAACCTAATACAAAGCTTCATAACTTTAACCATAAAATTTTGATCTCGGTTATGCTCTAGTTCTCGTGTAATATCATTACCCAAAAAAATCAAAGAAGGACATTATTTTTTTACAACTTAATAACACAGCCAAAATATGCAGCACCACTTATTATTCCTGCAAAAAGGACGCGACGGTTACTGAATTGGGTGGGACCACCGTAAATGCCCATATCTGTCTCAAAATGGGCAAAATCTTGGACAAAATCTAAATCCAAGAGCACCATACGATTCAGCTCCGAGGCGCATCTTCTTGTTGAAAAGGCACCAGTTTCGACACAGTATGTGGCATCTAGATTTTATGATACAATCGTAGATTAATCAGTGTGCAGTGATTAAGCATTCTGAGTAACTTACCATAGGCAATTATCTGAAGAAAAAAACATGCGAAATTTGCCAATTTTGCGCCTACCATGAACAAACAAGTATATCAAAAGATGCGCCTTTTCGAGGAAGGGGTTCTTGGGTCCAGATTTTGTTTATTTCAAAGCGAGATATGTTATCGCTCAACTCAGGTAATCCTCGCTTCTTTTTTTGCAAAAATTATAGGAATTATAAATTATAATAAATTAGTAAAAATTATTATTATTATACAAATATCATTGTACGTTGACCTTGCGTCCATAAACTAACTGCAACATTAGATACTTCCTACCGTATGATGCAAGGAATCTAAATAGGTGACACTGTGATCAGCAATAGTCCAGGCTAGAAAAATGTTCGTAGACGCTGCTATTCTCTACAAGTTCTATTACGTTGTCCCAAAAGTAAACTCCATTTTTCAAATAAATTGAGCTGTTCTTGTTTTCCTAACACCTTAAAGGCAGTGTCCCGGCAGATTTTGCACCTCCACCTTTTTGCATGTTTTAGGCCTTTTCGCCACGTAGAATCCGAATTTGAGCTTTGAACGGGCTGAAAAGCAGCTTGGACGAGATTTTCAGTGGAAAGTTGGGGGAGGTCCTCAGACGAAGATCCTGCCGCCTGTAATTCTTGCTTTGGATAGCATGCATCATGGGGGAGAGCGCTCGTGGGGTCCCGCGCGGAACAGGCGGGGAAGGCCGTCCAAGCGCGCGCCAGTCATAGTTGCGATAGGGGGAGTGATGGATCTTACCCCCTTCACTTTGAGGCCAAACTTCCGATGACCCCCTTCACCTGGGCTGAGATTGGTATCGTACTCTGAGAATATGATAAAAATCGTTATGAAAAGCAGGCTAAGTACCTCAAACAACAAGTACACTCATAAATTCACTAAAGAAACGGTATTTATGTTTATTTATATTATTTATTTATCCTCGTAGCATTTTGGAGAGAAGAAAGTAAGTACACAAAATCAGTTAATTTTTGAAGCACATGAAATCCCTCATATCTCGCGGCACAGAAGACCTAGAAAAAAGTCGACGGTCTACGTCGATTCTCCATGATCTCAGCTTTCGAATGGTATACAGCATGATAGGGCTTCTTTGCTTCCCGGCTCTAAAAATCATTTTCTCCGGTAACCGATAAAAGCCAATACATTGGTGGAGCCGGATTGGAGCAAGCTAATAGTAAATATCTCCACCCCATTTTTGAAAACTGGTCCGTTTTTTCGCCCAGCAACCTATATACCATTCGAAAGCTCAGGAAAAGGGGATTCGACCTAGACCGTCGACTTCTTTCTAGCCCCCCTCTACCGAGAGATACACCGCATTTTATCTGAAAACATGGTCATTTTCAACAGCAGTTTTCTGCCAAATGAAGACCTAATCACTGCTGCTTATCTATCTGTGTTAAAGAGCAAGTCTTCATTAACAAACGTAGACCGTCGACTTTCTCGTAGCATTCATTTGTAGAGCAGAAAGTGAGGACACAAAATCAGTTAATTTTTAAAGCACATAAAATCCCTCATATCTCGCGGCACAGAAGACCTAGAAAAAAGTCGACGGTCTACGTCGATTCTCCATGATCTCAGCTTTCGAATGGTATACAGCATGTTAGGGCTTCTTTGCTTCTCGGCTCTAAAAATCATTTGCTCCGGTAACCCATAAAAGCCAACATATTGTATAGGTCGTCCCGAAAGTTTTTGAGCACAACTTTCAAAAATTCATAACTTCTGATTTTTTCAACCGATTTGACTGCTTTCACTTTTATGTGAAAGGGTAAGTCATGCTCTTTATAAAGACATCCCAGCTGCTTAGTAATGGTCATCTGTTGCATAGATAGAAGCTCAAAACAAAATCACTCAAAATTTGAATTTTTGTGTAGGGTCATAAAAAATCAGAAACTTGCAACAAAATCGGAGCAGTCGGTATTTTAGGTTCTTTCACCAACTCTTTCTAACAGTGCAAAGTTTGCTCCGATTGAGCGTCTCCATGAAAAGTTATAATTTCCGAGCAAGCAGTACAAAAAGGCGAATTTGATTTATTTTGGCATTCTTCAGGGAAATCATAACTTTTCATGGAGACGCTCAATCGGCGCAAACTTTGCACTGTTAGAAAGAGCTGGTGAAAGAACCTACAGTACTGACTGCTCCAATTTTTGTTGCAAGTCTCCGATTTTTTATGACCCTACACAGAAAATTAAAATTTTTACCATTTTTCTTCTATCGCTCCTATCTATGCAACAGATGACCATTACTAAGCAGCTGAGATGTCGTTATAAAGAGCATGGCTTACCCTTTCACATAAAAGTGAAAGCAGTCAAATTGGTTGGAAAAATCAGAAGTTATGAATTTTGAAATTCATGCGCAAAAACTTTCTGGACGACCTAATAAGAGCGAGGTGGAGCAAGTTAATAGTAAAAAATGTGCTGTGGATTGACATCGCTATCAGCACTAACGGGAACGTGAGCGAACGCGTCTATTTGAGCGTGCTTATCGTTGTTATATGTTTATGTTTTTTTGGTAAAAAATGCGCTTTTGATTGACAGTTATGCCATCATTGTTAGCACAGACTCAAAAAACTATGGGAGATTGGTGAATTTCCACACCTTCACACAAAACCCGCCCATTTCTGGAATCTATACTCTGCAAACCTAGTGCTGAAGAAGGTCACTTTCGTGGAAACGCTCTAGACTCACCTTACCTAATTTGTAGAGAATGGTTGGTTTCAATGAATTAAAAATTCTAAAACATTCAGAAGAATAACATGTTATCAAAATATTCCTCAATGTTTTGGAAAGGTTGGCAGTTTGAAGAGGAAACGGCAGGCAGAATACTTTACAAAATCGCAGATGACTCGCATGTGTTCCAGTTCAACAGCGAGGCAGAAGGAGAATCTTACGCCGACGAAAATGTTGTCGACATTGATACAGAGTTGGCAATTGAGCGAAACTCTCTGATTTCCTGCATAAGGAATCCAAGCAGATTGTCTAGTTTTAATGAGGAAATGTCCAGGAAGTCCATTGCTGATCTTCAGGTTGCTGAAGAATTCAAGGCTGCTAAATTCACAAACATGGATATGAACAAAAGGAAGGTGTTAATACAAAGCATATTTACTGCGCTTAGATCCCGGCTGGAGTGCGAACCCAACTCTGTGCTTTATGCTTTGAAAGTTATTCGCCTTGTGACAATATGACCTATGATATTGAAAAAAAAACCAACGCACAGCATAGTACCTCCTTTTTTCGGCTATTCCGCAGATGCTGTTAAAGAAGAAGTTGAGCAGCTTTCTCGTCAGTTAACAGAACGTATGCCAGAGGAGGTGAAGCCAGAGTTCGACAAGGCCCAAAAAGTACACTATTTCTTTCCCGTGTTGCGAATGCATATGAGATTTGGCTCTTTTCCCATTACTTACCTCAAAAATCTGATGGACCTACTAGCAAAGCTAGTTTCCATTCCGACTAGCACGGCAGAGGTGGAGAAAGAAATTTTCTATCTACTCTGTTATCAGAACACAACGCAGAAGTCGTACAACGATAGAGCATCTAAGCAAATACTTAAGATTTGTCAACCTTCTACTAAACACATTGTTATCTAAAAACTTCATTTAAAGGATTGGTATAAGTGGTCCAGACAGGCTGTTACCGTATGACTTTTTGAAATATCCTAAAAGAAGGTATGAAGAAACGTCACCTACCTGCTGACTTTTCTGATGCTACCAGAGGGCCAGGAAAAAAATCACAAAAACGCTCAAAAGAAGAAGAAAGTTTCAAATCCATTTTCGACTCAGAACGCCTTTGCACGCATTTCTACTTCTACTCTGATGACCTTTTGGAGGAAGAAGAAGATTTTTCAGGCAGCGAACTTGTTGTCTCTGACGTTAGCGATAGTGATATTGTTGATGATGATGTGCAGGAAATGAAGTTGTTCCTAACTTGTACATCTTTTGGAATAAACATTATTGCTTTCGTTTTCTGTTGATGCAGTGAAACAGGAGCACAGATCTTTATAATCAATTTTTTTTGATTTTTTGATTTTTTTTGAAAATTTTTAAATTTTTTTCAATTTGTGCCTAAATAATGTACAAATTAGAGCTCTTCATTCCACGCTTTTTTACCTTTTCTCTCTTCCTCCCCCCCCCCTAGACTCACATACCCCCTTCACCCTGGAAGGTCGGGAACAGCCGAGACCCCCTTCACCTGGGGAGAGCCCGGCTCCCCCTATCGCACCTATGGCGCCAGTTGGGGTTGCGCGCGCCGGTTCAAGGGCCATTCTCGGCCAAGGGGGAACATCACCCAGCCGGACTGCGCCTGGAGGTCGATGGGGTGACCAGGAACCCCACCACACGTATATCCCCCAGGACCCAAATCTGCCGGGACACTGCCTTTAAGGTACCATTCGATAGAGCGGAACAAGCTCTACAAAAAGACCACCAAAGATCCACCTAAGTCGTAGTCCATGTAAAATTTGGGGCCAAAAATTAAGGTTTTTCAGCTGCCTCAAAAACCAGATCTCCTTCCAGAGAATTCTACGGACTTCCAATTTGGTCTTTGTATAGTAGACACTAGTACCTAAAAATGTATTTGGCGAGTTTTTTGGGGCTCAAAATTGAGAAAAAAAGATGGACCAAAAATGCCAAAATGCCATTTCTTTCGCGTTTTTTATGTAAAACTCTGTATTTCTTAGATATAAGGGCACACGCATGGATAAGTTTGTGAAATTATACTTAGTAAGGCTTGTAGTATACAATGACATATGTGGGAGGTGCTGGGGGTGGAGTTTGCCATTTTTGGACAATTTTGTTTCTCGCTTTCTAGGCTCGGAAAAAACCTGGTAAAAGTATACATGTGTACTACTTTGTGAATACTGTATAATGACCAAGTTGGAGGTCTGTTGGATTTTTATCACAGAAATCCAATTTTTAGGTGACAAAATTTTTTCCCATTTTGGCTTCAAACTTTCCATGAAAGAAGATAATTTGTAGAGCTTGATATGCTCTATCGAATTAGTTCAATGGAAAACAAAAACAGATTGAATCATTTGAAAAAGGAGTTTACTTTTAAGATTTACTTTTAAGATAACCTAATACTTATGGTGAATAGCACGAACTGAAAACAGCTGTTGAGGTAAAAAGACGTGAAAATTCCAGTGCAATGTAGTTAAGGTTCAGAACTTTTTAAATGTCCTATAATCTCTATATTTTCTATCAGGCAAGAAACAAAGGATCCAGTCATGCAGGAAGAATGCCTGTTGAGAATAAACGGAGTCGAATGAAGGAGCTCGACAGCATTCTGACCGAAAACATTGCTTACAATTTAGTACCTTGCTGGAGAGACTCATGCAGCTGCTGGAAAGATGTTGTAAATTTTACCCGTTTCTGAATCACTGGGTCTCTGGACGCTTTGTAAACTTCTTGAATAATAGAACGTATTGATTGCATTGGGCAGTCCTCCAGAGCTTAAATAAGATTGCCATTTGTTGTTTCATCCTATGGGCATGATCAACCTCCTTTTTAAAAAATTTGTCACGAAAAGCCTGACGTCTGCGACTCTCACTACTGTCAGTAACTTCTTTGATGTATATGCGTACCTGCATGAACTGCGACTACGTTGATGAGAATCACAAAAAGTAGCATGAGGCCTGAAAACATGTAACTAACTACACTGACTTCTACCATCTGACTGGATGGTTCTGCAAAAATTGTAAACACGTTGGCGACAATGCTCGATTTTAGTTGTCTGCCTTGTGGAGCGAAGCCTTTCAACAAAAGTTACGATTTTATAGCCAAAGTTGCACATACACTTACTTACAGTATACCTACCGTAGCTCTAAAAATCTGTCTACAAACATAGAAGCTTTGTACAGATCCAGCGCGTAAAAAACTTTGGTATTAAAGGCAGTGTCCAGGCAAATTTGGACAGATCGGTTTTTTTGCCTGAGAACTGTAGAGGAGGCTCTAGCTAAGCCGCTGCTCAAATCGCAGCGCAAATAATTCATTCACGGCTGAGAAATCCATCCACAAACACTCCGCTGCTGCGCCGTGACCGTAACACTTAGGACTAGTCCAGCGCGAACGTAGTGTTAAAGTGAGCGAAGTCGTTTTTGGGTTACGGTTACGGCGCAGGCGCGGGGTTTTCGGGGACGGATTTCTCAGCCGTGATTGAACAATTTGCGCTGCCCTTTGGGCAGTGACTTAGTTAGGATCCCCTCATCAATTTCCAGGCGAAAGAGCCATGCGACCAGGTCTGGACATTGCCTTTAATACAGTTTAGAAAACATAAGACTGGATTTAGTGAGCCACATATAAATCACATTGACCCAAGTACCAGTCATTGCGTGGCTCATCATGTGGGTCATGTTGTAGGTTAACTATGTTCAATGTTATCAAGGCTGTTTTGAAATATTTTTACTTCATGAAAATTATTTTTATATACAGCGTGTCTCAAAAAATGTACCTACTGTTTGATTGTAAATAACTTTCTTGTAATGAAGTTTTTGAGAAGATTCAGGTACCATTTTGTAGGGCGAGGTTAAACTTACAAGGAGAGACCTAGTCGAAAGCACCAATTCAAATGAAACGTACATAAACGCTAATTCCAAATCTACATGGTGGCTGAAAAGTATTGGCGCGTTTTGTGCCGTTAATTTTTTGCGGTCAAATGGAGTTAATTTTGCCTGTCTTAACGTGATCGAAGTAGTGGCATCTGTCTGCTCTCTTTGAGAGCAAATTCATTTGCTTTGGTGTACTCATGAGGCCCCGTGAACACCGTGTATCAATCGCTCGCCTAGCAGCCGACGAACAGAAGTCTTCGGTGATCTCGGCTCGCTTAGAAGTCCCACTTCGAACGGTGCAGAGGATCATCCAGCAGTGGAAGTCAGTGGGACATGTCAATGTGAACAACAGGCCGTCCCCGCTCTGCCAACACTCGTAGAATGCGAGCCATCATCAAGAAACGAATTGTCCGAAACGACAGAGTCGGTATAAATTCTATTGCAAAAAGCCTGTCTATCTCTCGTCAGACAGTTCAAAGTATAGATAGAAACTCTTTGGGTCTTCGCAGTTATCGTCGTCTGTTCAAAGGGCAATATTTATCAAATGACGCCAAGCTGAAGAGGCTAAGAATTTGCAAAGAAATGCTATGCATCTTTGACGCGTGCCGCATAGAAGACGTGATGTTTTCGGACGAAAAAAATTTACTATGGAAACATCCCACAACAGTCAAAATGCACGGCAACTGCTCGGCCCAAGTCTGAAGAATACCGAAAAATGGAAAATTGTTACATGAACGCTTTTTCCAAAGGGAGTGATGGTTTGGGCAGGGGTGAGCGCCACTGTGAAGACGCTTTTGATTTTTTTTAATCGGAATGTGAAGATAAACGCAAAGACCTATCAGGAAGAAGTGCTGGCAAAAGCTGTGGTCCCATGGAGGCGAAAAAACGCAAATGGGATGTTCCAGTAGGATTAGGCACCTGCGCACGCAGCAAAGAGCACTATTGCCTTCCTAGATGCTAATGTGGCAGGATATCTGACGAAGGATCAGTGGCCTTCCAACAGTCCCGATCTCAATTCACTTGACTTCGCTGTTTGGGTTACTTAGAGGAGAATGTGAGAAGCAAGAAAATCAACACTGTGAATGGCCTTTGCAGAGAACTTACAAAAGCGTGGAACGATTTAGACCAAGAGTACCTGCGGTGCGCCGTCACTTCAGTGATACCCCAATGAAGGCATGCGTAAGAGTCAAAGGTGGACATTTGAGCAGTTTTTATAAATTATGTGGGTTACTGTGTTTTCTTCGTTTATCATAAAAAATTAGTGCCAAATCTTTCTGAAAGAAGATATAAAGTTTTTGAGCGCGCCAATACTTTTCAGCCACCCTGTATAGTTTCTAGCTGCGGAACGGTTTTGTAGAAGGAGGTATGACGAGTGTTCCCCTTTGGGGTTGAGGCGCCCTCCAGCAGGTCTCCCCTTATCTATGAGCATTGTAGAGAGTACGAACTGGCTTAGTGGTAAGTGACTTGCTTGATAGGGAAAGTACCAGGATTTTAATCCCTTCGCATGCAACTTTATCGCAATTTTTGCATGAGCTTCTAAATAACTATAGAGAAAAGCCTGAAACATTTCTGATGATTGATGCTAATTGAAGTTAAAAGTGTTAAAAAACCAAAGTAATAAGCATCATAGTCCTTATTGTATTCTTCATTCAGATTACTTACCATTACACCATTTTGTGTTTCTATAATGCTCGTAGACAAGAGCCGATATCTGAAGGGCGCCTTAACCCCAAAGGGGAACACCTCTCATACCTCCTTCTACAAAACCGTTCCGCAGCTAGAGACTACAGATTTGGAATCAGCGTTTTAAGCGCTTTCAGTGGTATATTTCAAGGTTCCATATGCTGGAAGTTCTTACCGTAATCCTACGGTAATGAAGAATGACGATTCGCTCAATACTGTAAATCTAAGTTTGACCTCGCTCTACAAAATGGTACCTAAAGCTCTAGAAACACTTCATTACAAGAGAGTTTTTTACAATTAAAGAGTAGGTACATTTTTGGGACAACATGTATAGTGTGCTTTCGTTTCTTATAGTGCAGGATTTTGTTGAGAAAGTGCGTGAAAATAATCACGCCAATGCCGGCAATCTGCGCATGCAAGTATCCTCCACCACAAGTGCAGCAATTTGTTTACGCACAAATACTGCAAGCACTACATGAAAATCTGCCGAAGGAAAATTCTACGGCAACCCAGAGTAAAAAAAATCCCTGCGCAAAAACTAAGGGGAAAGAGGATGGAGATTTAGTGAAGAACGGTCAATCCAGCTGCTGCTGCCAGCACATGTCTTTACACCTTTACCTCACGAAACGCGAATTGTAGACTCAGTTTGAATGCGAGTTGAAATAAATGCTTTACTTTACAGGGTATCCCAAAAGTCTTGTAGCCTTGTATTTTTTCTGATCAAACAGAAAACAATATAGAGACATAAGTCTTGGTGCACACATTACTTAAACAGTAACAAACACATTACATCATTCGAATTTTGCGATAGTATCTTTTCTTGCTGACTGAAAGAGGAACCTTCAAACTTTGCCATTGCCGAGGCACGCAAGTAGTCATCATCAATTTCATCCCACGCTTTGACGCAAATATTTGCTGCCCAAAAGATGTGCTGTTTGACAGAGCAAGATTTCACTTACAACATGCTACGAAGAAAAAATTTTGTGAACATTCCAGTTAAAATATGAATTTAAATGCAGGCATGTGTAGACCTCATGTCGGGTTTTCGACACATTTGCAGGAAATGAAATCAGAAAATCGGCTACAATGTGTTTTGAAACCAAGTTCGTCATCCCAGTAGACTAGATTCTCATTTTAAGAGCACATAAAAAAAGTTACTTTAGATTCAGCGACTGCTGCTTTTCTACAGATGTAAATTCAAGTGCAAAGACATAGAGGCAGTGGTACACATTCGAAGTTCCTAGATTTTCCGTCTGTCTTGATGAAATAGATTTACGCAGCTACTGTAATAGAAGTCGAGGCTTCCTCAACAGCAGACGTGAAATTGTACCGCACTGTTTCGAACTTTTCAATAGCGATATAGAATGTGAATCCCGAGAAGATAGATTTCCGCGCTTTGAAAGGGAGATTTGATAATTCCATTTTTCTCAATTAAATATGAAAACCATTTTGGACTTGAAATGTTCTTTATTATGGAGAATAGTCCCATCATAGTATTTCACAAATTTGAAATCATCACTAGTGATTCATAAGTTACAGTCAGTGAAACCTACAAGACTTTTGGAACTCTGTATATGTTTTGCACGAAGCCCGGTGATAAGTGCATTTGCTAACTTCATTGCAAGAAAAAGACGAGAAGATTAACGATAGCTCATTGTAATCGTACAGTGCGCCTGATTATGTCAATACGCAGTATATATCTTCATGTTTGACAGCCAAGCCAGAGGTAGGATCTAAATGTAAGATATAAAGCATCGCGTTTACAACGATTCTATAAATTTTTTTCAGACATTGTCGTAGCTTATTGTAGACTTTGAAGAGAATATGATCTATTCAAAGTCTGCGAGGCATGACTTATATTAGGTCGTGCAATAAGTTCTGTCCCATTTTTTTGTTTTATTTCTTGACAACATTGATTACATTAGAGGTAAGGTGTATATGCTTTTGAAAGCTCCAAGTCTGCTTTGCAGGCTCATATGCATCAATCTCCAACATAGCAGGAAATTGAAAAAGATTTTTATCATTGAAACAAAAAATCCAAAGAGCCGAAAACCAATTTTCGACATCTTTATTCCTCCAAATTTTTCTCGATTTTTATTAATCAAGCTTATTAAACAAGCTTGACAGCAACCAAAACAATCTATTGGACTTTTACACTTATTCTATCACTGTTTGCGCATGTTCCCTTCCTTCTCTGTGCTATTTAATGACATTTTTCAAAAGTTGGCAAGGCAAGACTTTGTCACGGCGATGTTCGCCGTCTCGCGTATCCAAGCTGCGTAGCTCCCAAAATTCAAATTCTAATTACGAATTCGATGATTTTAGAGCCACAAATGATCCCTTCTGTCTTTTCTGGATGATCCGCCTACCGTCTCTTCCCTCAGGATGCTTTCAGATGATGCCCAACACCAATGTTGAAAAGGCGTTAGAAAGAAGAATTTTATAAAGTCTACAGAAATGATTTTTGAAAAGTTTCAGCACTCCTAAAGAGCAATAAAAGCTAGAGCATTCTTTGCTTGAGTGTAGCAAATTCTTCGAGCTTATTCGTAGGCATTCTGACTATTAGGAAGGCGACGTAACGTAGTTGTCGAAAATGGACTGTTTCCCTGTTTGATTTTCCAAATTTGACGCTGTAAAACTTCTTCAAGTCATCTGATGTAGAAAAACGAAATGAAAGTTTCAGTAGAGAAGGCTTAGAACTTTCAAATGCATAGAAACAATTTACAGAATATCGCGCAAAATATTGAGAAAAAGAAGAAAAAGTGGGACAGAACTTATTACACAACCTAATAATTCATGTTGGCTGCCTTTCCAAGAATGAACGTGCAACGCTAAAAGCTTTTCAAAAGCTTTTTCGACAAACTCATTCTCGCAACTCATTTTCGAACAAGCAAAAACCAGTTGTATCCTACTTTACTCTACAAAACAAAATCTCTTCAATCTAATCTAATGTGTCTGGTTGAAAGCATAGAAAGAAGTGCTCCATGATTCTTCTTGTAGATAGACAAAAAATGAGCGCAACGGATGTGCGGATCACTGACACGCACCAGCTATTGTTCTTCTTACAAGGAGCGTAGACACTCGCCTAGGTTTATATCTTTCCTTTCTTGACTGGCTTCTCTAAAAGTATAATAAAGTGAAGAATCCTTCTCGGACTTCATTGCAAATTTTACATTCAGTGGAATAACACGAGATAACCAGAATTGAGGGATTTTGCTATATCGCTTATCTTTGTCTTTTTATGCAAAAGAATGTGTGTGGAGAACTTATGGAACATCATGAAAATGTTCAAGAGCTCTTGCCTCCCCATTACTGCCACAGATAACCCGATCTTGTGAAAATCTCAAGTAAAGGTTATTGGGGAAAAAAGCGTGGTGAGCATATTTTGACGATACTTTTTGAAGATAGAACCCTATCGGCACAATGGCACACGGCCGAAAAAACCAGCATAGATCAGTATGAGACTAGGAGCGGTTAATGAAAGTCTATAAAATATTGTCAATTCAACAGTGAGAGCGACGGTTATGTGGCTGCGATGGTGAAGAAGGTTGTGAGAAAGAATCAAAACCTGTGAGTGCTGCTTGTAATTCTAAGTCCAATGTCGAAGCTTGGTGCACTTAGCGTTGCAACAATGTACTTTTTAATACGTCGAATAGCGTTAATGTTGAAATAAGACATAACAGATAATAATAGCGACATTAGAGCACATATTCAAACGCTAAGCGATTTATTATGAAGACGAAGAGATGTCTGAAGAATAGGCAATCATATATTCACCGTTAAGTGATACTTTATGAACTAAAAGTCTACGGTTCCATAACGCTGACAGTGTTGATATAAAGTAATTAAGCGAATGGTATGGACAGAGCAGATTGAACTCAAGTGGCGGTCATCATTACTCTTATAATGACGGGCTAAGGTGTGTGTGTGTGTGTGTGTGTGTGTGTGTGTGTGTGTGTGTGTGTGTGTGTGTTTGTTGAGACCCGCGGGGCTGGGAGTTGGCAAGAGGATAAGTAAGCATGCTGATTAGTAACACACTGGTAACAGGGAATTGGCATGCAGAAGGGGGCACAGGGAAAGGTTGTGCATGCAAAGAGACGCTCAGACAGTCGAAGGAATACCTCCAAAAGGCAAATGCCGGGGTCTGCCATTTTATGGCTCCGGAGCCCTCCCATTCATGCGTTTTGGTGCTCCGGGGCTCCTCCAAATCTGGCGCTCCCCCAGAGCAGAGAGTTGCGAGCACCGAGAAGGGGTCCCATTCGCCTTCTTCTAACGTCACCGCGACGGCGAATGGGACCCCTTCCTGGTGCTCGCAAATCTCTGCTCCGGGGGTGCACCAGATTTGGAGGAGCCCTGGAGCACCAAAACGCGTGAATGGGAGAGCTCCGGAGCAATAAAGTGGCAGACCCCCGGCATTTGCCCTCCGGAGGTACCCCTACTTTCTGAGCAGGACCTCTGTTATAGTGTTTTGACAAGACCGTCCAGAGCCGAGTAAGTCAGCTAGACTATACATATATAAGACTCAAAGTGTGTAAGCATGTGTGAAATTATGTCCCAAATACAAATTTTTTCAAGTGGAATTATGAGACTGAACACTCTCCTATGGACAAGCCACGGCGATTACAGACTACTTTTCGCGCGATTTACTCCTTCTATCAACTTCCTGATTTGTTTACTTGCATATAGAAAGATGAAAGCTCATCAATCATGATTGTGTCATTTTCCGCTAATCATGGAAAGGAGCGGAAACATTATTTCGCTGCAAAGAAGATGTGATGTTGCCAGGTGACGTAGCTCGGAAGGAAGAAAAATCAACAAAGGATTTTTGGAGCCCAGATCTAGACCAAAGACAGGAAAGAAAAAAAGGATAGCCAGCGCGAGTATAGAGGCAAAAGAAAGGCTGAAATGGGGTGGGTTATCTCATTTAAGACCAAGTAATATGTAGTATCTGCTGGCTGTTCCAAACTCCCCGTCCGCGATTCCCGGTCTTTGAAGTATAACTGTTGATAATAAATCGTAGCGGTGCGGATTTTCTGTACTGCTGTTCACGGCGCGGGTTTCGAGAGCAACTCATAAATCGCCGAGGGCGAGAGGGCGTCGGAAGAAAACATGAGTTTTTCGCATTCTGCTCGAAGAGTTTACAGTCTGCCCCAGTCGGGACAGGCCAAACCGTTTGCTAAATTTGCGCGCACGCAATGCCAGTACTCTTCGCTGCATATGCGCGCTGTCGGAGAGAGCGGAGGGAACGAAGGCCAGGCAAGTGCGCCACAGGCGTGAACGCAAAACCCTGGCGACGAGGACTCCCGCCATGCCAGTTTTGGCCGGATTGGAATTGGGGCAGGCTGTGGAACACTGGCCATGACTTCTGAAGGTCATTTGTTGAATTTTTCGACAGAAAAATAGCAATGTATTTGCAAAAAACGTGACAAATGGATTAACAAATGTTGTCAGAAAAGCGCGTCTTTAGTTGCTTATATGCAAACGGAAGGCGAAAGGTTAACAACGAGCATTTCCGTCTGTCTCAGGCGATTGTTTGAATAACATACGAAAACTGGACAGATTTTAAAGGTGTAAACTCTCCGAAAGTTCGATTTTGAGGCGCATCTACGCTATTTCAAGAGAAATTAAAGATACACAATTAAGGCATAACCATGGATCTTTTTATAAATACACAATATCCTAAAGTCAATGATCGGCGACAAACTTTCATACACAAACCACTGCACAATTCAAATCAGATCGGAACACATTGGATGTTTTGGATAGATCATGAAGAGGTACCCTTATTCCTTCGGCACTTTTTACATCTCCATCTCTTCCTATGTCCATTTACCTCTTTAGTGGCGGCGTAAGGCTGAGGTTGGCTTTGGAGCGTCGCTTGCTCTCGGATCCTAAAAACCATATTTATACTGTTATCCGAAAAAGCAGCGCTTACTTATTCACTAGTCCTTCAACGTTCACTTTATCACTGTACCCATATCCGCATACCTTGACAACGTGGTACAGCCATCTAAAATCTTTATCTCCCATCTTGAAACTACTGTTGTCTTCTCAGTCATACCCTTCGATCACGGTAAGGCAAAACCCAGGAGTGCCGTCCAAAATATTTTGGTAAGGGAATTCCCAACTCACTTCTGAAGTAATATTTTTGTTAGATTTTGTCTTTCACTGCCACGTAAAGCTAAATAAATCTCTATAAAGTGCGCGTTTCCGCCGCGCAGTTTTCGAGGCAATAACTTATTTAATTTTGAATTGAATCATTTGTGAGAGTTGAAAAAAGCTTGGACCCCATATCGGCTCTTGGCTGCAACTGTCACGCGGAATTAACAGCAGGCGCCACAAGTTCTCATATGGTCTTTCAATCCAGAAAGTTTCTTAAACTCGATATTACCAACGCCTTCAAAAACTCATTGCATGACGGAATGACTAGAGTGAAGTAAATTTGAATTTCACCATGTCATCTTAGCCGTTTTTCTATTAGTTGGATGCAAAAATATTAGGGGTCATTTTTCGTCTAATTTTCACTACTTACTGAGCTTTGTATAGAATTATGTTTTCACGAAGCTTTGTACTTCAAGCGTTTGATTGCAGTTACAGAAGTGGAAAACGGTGACCGCATCGTGCGGTCAATATCATCAAAAGCGTAGAAATGGAGTGCAGTTTTGAAAATGAGGCTACTAAGCACTACTAGGAGATCAAAGACAGTGGTACAATTTGATTTGTAGAAAAATCGTTTTTTTTAAGGATATGTGGAATAATTATCATCTTGAAAACTTATAGCAGTTTTGCTTGGAAGTTAACTTTCCTTTTGGAAAGCTACCACATTTTATCGCCTATTATGCACACTCAATTGGGTAACGCGAAATAAAGTTAGTATGTGCAATTTATTTATTTGATTATTTATCTATTAATTTATGGGTTACCTTTCCCGCGAGACGCCAAAGTAGGATCTCGAACGATGATAACGCCCCAATCTCCCCCATGAAGTTCCTCAGCGATTCGTCGTATCACCTGAAAAACACGGTGGTAAAGTTATCCTAATTCACAATCATCTGTTCTACCACGGGACCGGGGCTGTTCCACTCAATACAACCCAAAAATTCAAAGTCGAAAACCTCACTAGAAAACGTCTAAGAGCTTACTCGACTTGGTCATCACGAGAACGATGTATTTCGCATGGTAGGGCGTTTTCCAGGGGGTTACGGTAATCATACGGTGTGGGGTCAAAATCTCAGAGTTCACTGGAACTTTGCATAGAGGGGCTGTTCGACATGTGATTGCAAATGTCATACTCTTTTCAAAAGCGTCTCCCTCATGTTTACAAAAGGATACCGTGAGGTTTCAAAATCATGCTCTTCTCTAAAACTTCGCACAGGAGGGTCATAACACGTTGAATAAATTATCTCAATGATTTCGTATGGTAGCAACATCTTCGGGGTTACTACGGGTACACGATAGATAGATGAAGATTCCAAATATACTCAAAACTTTGCCTGGAGGAGTTTTCAAGCATGTTAGTAACGAATATCATGCTTACTTGCTGCAGTAACGCCTTATTGTGGAGTTGTGGTGATTTGCAGCGTACAGATAAGCACTCAGACAATTGCATCGGGAAGTTCGCGGGTGCTTGCTCGGCCACCAATCATCCATGCCGCTAGCTGCCCGGTATAAACCGATATTGGACCCAGTAGGTGACCGCGGCGCATCCTGTAAGCGGCCGATAGTTGACCCGATTAGCATGCTTGTGAGGCCTAGGAAGAGTGAAAAAATTTTGACCTGTCTTTCATGACAACGACTGAGTACAAATTGAGCAACTTGTTAGCTCATATGTCGACATCATCTACTGTCGTCGATAACAATCAACCGATTGCTGAGGTTTGTTTCGTGGGCATATAAACTCAACTGTCACACAACCAACCCGAGAAGAACCATCCTCGCAAACACTTAGGGTAGCCCCATCGCTGCGTCGTACCTCACGCGGGTTGCGCCTTAAGCTACAGCGTGCAAGAAGTGTGGCCTTCGATAAGGCCCGCGGCACGCCGAGTGAGGTGATTGGGTCGCGACTCTCCCGATAAGCTCTTTCCAATTTTAACTTTGGCCGCGGCGTTCCCGGTAAAATATACATGGGACGCGGCGTGCGCGGCTGAAAATTTAAGGGCCGCGGCGCCCCATGTAGCACGTTTTGAGGCCGCGAACTTTCCGATGCAATTGTCTGAGGCACCTTTCCCGTTTTTCAAACAAAATTGACTTCCAAAATTTACGAAAAGACCTTTCATGCTAAGAGAGCGCGATATTCTAAGCAGCACATCAGATAACTCTCCCGCCAAAGTTTCAGGCGATTTACGTCTTTGTACCTCACCATAAAACTAGGTTGACTCTATAAGAAGGCCCCAAACGCAAGACTACGATATGCCTCATCAGCATGTCAAACAATCCCTTTAGCTTAAACTCAGCCAAATCTAGATTTTGTACATCTACCGTTACCTACCTACCGTAACCATTAAAGAAACGTCGTGCGGAAAAAAGTGTTATATTTGTCAGCATGTCGAAGAACCCCTCTTCGCGAAGTTCAGCGAAATCTGAGACTCTGACTTCACACCTCCAGGGTGGCTTAGGGTGACAATTGCTGACTCATCCTGATTTGGAAAAGTTGGGCACGCTCTACGATCGCAAGGTTTTTATACAATACTGTACTTTGCTCCAATTCCCCATTACGCATGTACACCTAACAATAAGTTTGAAGTTACATCGTCATTCCAACTTTGCAAACGGGTCATCTTTCCTTTTCACCAATGAACTTTTCCAGAAAAAAAGGGTGCCATAACCTTCAGTCACACAACCTTCTCACAGTTCTCTGCACTCTGCCTGAGCTCTTGTCCGTTTGTATACCAATTTGGAATCATCGTTGCGTATGCGCTCAATAAGCGCGGTGGTTTCTTGGTTTTGAAAACGATGCCTTTACGCTATTACTCCTCTTTCCTCGGCCACTCGCCGCTATTTTCTCTACCCCCCCCCCCTTCCAGTCATGAACAATTAGAAATGGTGCAACAGCTTTGTATTCCTCGCAAAATGCGGAGCGGCTTATATTTGCGATACGCTTTGCTTCTTCTAACTGAAATGATTTCTAGCTTGACATTTAAAATCCTCGTGCCGAACCCTGCATCCCATTTCCTTCTCTTCCTCGCCTATCCGTTGATTCATCGAAAATGGCGGCTTGTGGGTGGGGCTCACGTCCGCGCAGCCGCTTCGCCTGACTATCTGACAAATGCACTATCTTGAACAGGTCTGCTTATGCTGCGTAGTGTCAGAAGAAAGATTGGTTGTGATTACAATGACAGCAAACCATAGAACGTGAAGCAGAGTACTTGAGGCGAGAAATTTGGACAATTTACCAAGGACATACTCTAGCTTCTAGCGAAAGCTAGAATAGCCTTTGTGTACCGATAGTAAGGTTTTACATAATTGTACAGAATGACTGTGTGAGAAATTCTGAAAGAGCTCAAAACGAGTTCGAGGATAGATACGTTTTTATCTAACTGTAGACAATCTTGCTTGCTGTTGCTGAGATGATATCATCAAGCCTCACCCGCTTTTGGACTGCTGGATCTCTGGTCTCTCTGCGTACTTGAAGAATGATAGAACGTAGCGCTTGCATTGGACAATCTTCTAGAGCTGAAATAAGCTTTTGTTGTTTTCAGTATGCCATCATCAAAGAGAGGAAATTGTATTCTAAGGACCGCTTGCACTAACATTCCCGCTGAGGGAATCACAGCTTAAGGAAAGCTACCCTAAAGCTTCAGATATATGGGTTTCACTCTGTCTACCTAACCGTAAGTAATCTCACCATCTTCACTACCAATATATTGGACGGGAGCAAGAAGCTGTAGAAGCGGCATTTCCCAGCTTTTTGTATGATCCCCTAATAATCCCAGAGGCCGGACCCCTTCTTCATAGCAACATTCCTTCCTTCGAAGTCAATGAAAGTCAACCCTCCAAAACTCAAGATAGATAGGCGTGAAATCACATATCTGGAGCTTCAGGATAGGAAGCTTTCTTTCGAGCTGCGATCCCCTCCCAGCGGGGATGTTAGTGCGTGCGGCCCTAAGGCAGGGCATAGTGTCCACGATACCGTTGCGCTGCGATTTCTGAATTACGACAACTGTTACGCACTCGTTGTATGTCTGTGCGTCTGCTACTGCGCTTGTGATACTCGTCCGGCGCGACGGATCGCGGACCCTTTTTAGCTAGGGCATAGTTCCGCAGCGATAATCGCCGCGATTTCGGCCGAACTCAGCGATGTCGCGTCGCGCGTGCTGCACGGGCGACTGGGCGATATCGCTAAGGTGCGAGGGACATCTTAAGAGTTTTTTGTGTGCATGCATTGTTCTTTCAGCTCGTTTTTGTTTGAAAAATAAGAATATCTCTTTTGAAGAGTGATGATTATGAACTCTCGTGTAAGCCGTCGTTTTCTTCTTTCTAAATCAATATTAAGTAGTTCGTTCTTTGATGTTTTCTCGTGGGCGACATGAGAAATAACTGCAGTTGCAATCGAGTTTATCGAGAGTTTAACGAGAAAAACTTTTCTGGATGTTTTTCATTATCTTGCAAGCTTTCAAAAGCTAGATTTTGCAGACTGAAATTTTTCAATTAAGACACCTGGTAGTATACTTAACAATTGTTTTTGCCTTAGTATGAAACCAAATTTAGGCGTTCGCACTGGCTCTGCAACTTTCGAGTTATCTGTCACCTGCAAGATCTTTCTTATGTCGAAGATGCTCGATCACACCATTTGAGTTCTATGTTTTTTCTTCTTACAGTGTGCTGACGTTCTGTTTTGAGTAAATGTGCCGAGCACTAGCTAGCGCTTGGAGGTAAACATGCTCATTATTTATGGTTACTCTGAACATTATATTGACTTTGAGATGTCCAAGAATGGCTCTTGGAAATCTAGTTATAATGTATTCATAATATCCATCATACTGTAGTTTCTCGAACTGGGAGGAACCGAGTTGATGTTAGTGCCGACACGGCTGCGCAGGATGAAATGGCGTTTGAATGGCGTCCTTTACGTGCAATAGTTTGTCATGTGTGTGAATGCACGCAATCGCGCCCACTATGCCCATGTACGCGCGAAGGACGATTTCGTCGTCGCGATCTCGTCGCCCAAACCACCGATTTCCCCGACGATGAAATCGCGGCGACGAAATCGTGGACACTATGCCCGTTCCCTAAGACCGATATCCGTGAACATCCCTGCGGCAAGGGAAGCGACCCTAGAGATAGAATAGCCGTAGCGGCTTTACCCGGCCTTTTCCTAACGAGGGATGTCGCTTCCCTCGTCTCAGGGTTGTTTAGCATTGGGCCTGAATTTACAACCACGGAACAATATGTTTTTTATGGATCCTCTAAAGCTGTGATCTAAATACACGCACCTGCTTGTACCGCGGCCATCTGGATGAGGATCCCAAGAAGTAGCATATGATTAGCGTGGAACTAACAAGATTAGGGGCTATGCTCTCTGAAAGAGATGACAAAGTAGTCAGCATGAAATAGTTATTACAGGCACGGACGAGGATTGCTCCGTAAGAGCATGCCTCTGCCATTAGAATTTAGCAGAAAGCACAAAAAATGTGCACAATCACCCTTCAGTAGCAAGTGTGTAGACAGTCATCGATTGAGTGAAAGGATAAGAGGTAATTCATTATACAAATCATAATATATTTCGCATTTAAATCGTTTTACTTCTAAAGGGTCAAAGCCCAGCGCACGTTCTAAACGAAACATCTGTTCGACTGTCTAAAGATATAAATAAAGAATGGTTATTCTCGATATAAACACTCTAATCAAATGCCAAGAACGTTATCGGTGAGATGATCAAAATGCGATGTACATCTGTTGATTATTCGCTTACTGTACTCCATACAATTTTGTAGAATTGGCTTCAACTTAGATTAACTGTAAAGATGGAAACATCGATCGCTCTTCAGTATTGAGGATTACGTTAGGAATTTTGAATAAGTTTTGGTCGATGACCGCTTTCTCAATGTTCCATGAAAATGAGGTTACACAGTTTAGAAAGCTTACAATCTTGCACAAAATTGAGCATCAAACTCAGCATTCATAAAACCTCCGTGGCACGAGTTTTCACATTTGTTGAAATTATTCGAATCGGGAATTCTTTAACAGTGACGCCATATGCTTGAACGTCCTACCGTAACCTGCAGTAATGAAGAGAGATCGGTGATTCGCTCCATCCATACGGTAAATATAAGCTGGTGCCAGCTTTACAGAAAGGTACTGAGCTTTTCCAAAGACTTCGTGGCAAGGGAGTTATTAACGATCAAACGTTCGATACATCTTATTGGGACTCTATGTTACTGCTGTAGGAAGCTGCAGCCGTGCCATGTACAACTTTTCCACAGAATATCCTGTTTTTGTAAAGATTGGGAGGGTAAGGAGTGGTACTGCAATCTGCAAAATTCAAGGCAACTCTTCATGTCATTTTCTGTCTCATTCAAACTGAAGTTAGACTATAACTGTGTGCACACTATTAAAATTTATGAATTTTTTGGAGGTAATGTAGGAAAGCTAGCGCTCTGTAAAACTTAAAAGCAGTATAGGTGGTAGAAAGACAAATCTCGGTGTTAATCTGAGAAAAGCAATGTACTTTGCCGTCTCTTTTGAGCAATGTCTTATTTTACTTGTTAACTTGTTGTCGTTTATTTTGAAACACATACCGGTGCATATAGCTTTCCGGCAAAATTAGAAGTTTTTCAGTTATAAGGATTTCAGTAGCGCAAGTCGCAGGGGTACATCATGAAGGAAATCGACTGTATACAAAACCTTAAAAAGGCCTCATAGGACTCATGTCATTAAACAACAACAAATAGTCCGTTGACACCAGGCGAGTATCTGGCTAAGAGAAAAAAACAGTTAACTAAAAATTCAGAAATTGCCGTCCATTAGCAAAGAAAGCGGCGGTTATATGGACGCGAAGAAACATCATGATCCGGAATTAGAACAGTGATTCCTCATTACAATTCTGAGTGTATGGTTGAGGCAGGAAGCACTTAGCGCTACAAAACCACTTTCCAAAACAATGAATGCGTTAATTTTAGAATGATAGACAATAATAATGAAGGGGTACATTTCTAAAACGCTAAACGATATGATAAAGAGATGGGATTGTTTGAGCGTCTATCAAGAATAAAAAGAAAAGACAAAATATACTTTGTGTACTATTGTTGACTTAGCTATATCGATTCGACAATTTCAATATACATATGCTAAACATGTTATCTTCGAATTTTGTATATTTGCCGGACATATTATGCAGCAGTTCACTCTGACAATATGTGTTGAAGTAAAGTAAATTCTGTTGTCATTTTTTGTGATGCAGTAGCCTGCTTATTTTTCTTTCAAAGGTATTTATTAATGCAACTTCTCTAATTCGGCATATAATGAAAGAATTGGGTTTCTCGATGCAGTAACGTAACATAGCTTTGGTCCTGATAAAGAAATGCACTTAACTCAGACGAGCCTTTTAGCAGATTCATATATAGATATTCGGAGTCAATTTGAAACGCTGATTTTAGCTAGGCTATTCCTAGCTGCGGCTAATCATTCTGAAGCAAGTTATTGATATTTTCGCATCAGCAGATGCTCATCGGACCTATTGGGATTATGGTATCGTCGTCTAAGTGGTAACACATTGCGTCAAGTTCCTTGTTGGAGACAAAGAACTTGGTCTGATATTATTTTTATAGCCCAGCAGCTTGCCCATGTTGTGTAATATGTCGATTTCGCACAGAATAAACTCGTAATTCGCCTCATGGTAAAGCGCCGCGGCTACGAGCACCTTTTTCTTTACTTGCAATGTTCGTAGCTTCTATCCAGTCTTTTTGTTAACACTGATTACCACCTTAGAAAGAACGAACTTGCCATTTTTCTTTTAATGATGTTGCCGCAACTAATGTGGCCTAGTTATGACTAAAATATTTCACCTTTGGGGCGCTAGATCAAAACTTGCTTTATGAACATCCAGATGTTCGTTTAGTAAGATTTGATCTAGAGGTAGCGCCAGATGTAAACTAAAGCTGTTTGATGCCGACAAACCGTCGCGTTCTTCTTGCGAGATGAGATTACGGTAATTTGCCCAAATTCTGACCTTTGATAAGCTAGTTCTTCCTTTCAAACATGTATTTGCAAGCATTGGAAACTTCAAACTACTACTTTGAATTGAACTCCTAATAAAATTTGAAGCTTTATAGATATGAGAGGTCAATAGAACTAGAATCTATCGTATTCCATATATGTGTAAGTTTTCTAAAAAAAACAGTCGAAAAAATCCTCCGTCATTTTTCGAATAACTAGCTATACCGTCGTAGACTTTGTAGGTATCACTTCAGCTTGTCTGTTTTCCCATTCCCACATATGTTTGCTTTACAGTCCAATGTCCTTGTAAGTTCATATGGCAAGGCATTATGTAAAGTTCTTTATTCACAGACATCACTTACATGAGACCAAGGAAAATCAAAAAATCTCCATAAAGTAATGAAACAGCTCAACAGCGTTATTCTAAATAACAAAAATTTCTCAAGTAGATAACATAAAAGCTATGAACATAAAAAGGAAACATTCACCTGGAACTGAGGCTGCACATTTGCATAAAGTCAGCATCCGCACTACGAAGAAAGATCATAGTCAAGAGAGGCGATGGCAATACTGATGCATAAAACACATACACAAATTATGAAGAAATGAGAAGCACGAAAGAGAGGAGAAAAATAAATGAGGAATGAAAATGATGAGCAGTGGGTTGGTTAGGCACTTGTCTCTCGGTAGTTGGGCATGATCGGAGAGGGCCTGAAGGCTGGCTGAGGTGAGGGTCGGTAGCCTTGCGATGACGGGTACTTGGAGAGAAGGGGCTCTTCGCGTGGGACTCGAAGTTCGTGGCTGGAACAGGCGAACATCACGAACTGTACCGCCTGTAATGGGTGCAGCGCATGCAACACAACACAACAAACTCATAGGGCAAGGCTGGGCAACATGGGGCTCAAGAAATTTCCCGAATAAATAGTGTATGGTGGGCATCGAGAATTTTGAATAGTGACTGTTAAGTCAGATCCTTAGTTGATCTATCAACCGCCCCCTTGCAGCAATTGCAGCGCAGCGAATGGCGGAAATTTGACAGTTTCCAGCCTAGGCGAGATTGGACACAGCGTTCGCGATGGACTAAGTAATTGCTAAACGAAAACTTCTGCACGTAAGTAAAAGTAATTTAGGAAAAAGGGGAAAACTTTCTTATTCCTAAACTCCACTGCGGATGCAGCATTAATTCCATGTGCCACACTAAATGCAAACATCCGTCGCCCTATATTAATTCGTTGAAAGATGGGTCGAGTACGCGCGAACAAAATTTACAGTTTTCAAAGTCAAGAAATTAAAAAAATTCATCAGAGAAATGTTTGAGTCGCCAGCGGTGCTGTTGAATATTATAGCGAAATCAAATCAAACATATTGTTAGGCTGCTCTATGCAGCTTGAAACTTCTCAGTTCAGGAACTCGTAACTTCTGCTCTTTCAGAAAATTGCGAACTAGTAGGATTTGAGTTTTCGAAATCACAAAATTTCACAGATTGGAGGAAAAGTCAAACTTTATAATCATGTAACTAATACGATTTTGATTTTTCAATCAAATAATCACAGTTTGGAGGGAAATTTAAAGGCAGTGTCCGGGAAAAAGGCGATTTTGAGATTTCGTGCTTATCCGGGCCTATTCACTATGCTGAATCCGAAAATCCACATTGGAAAGCGCAAAAACGGCAAAAAAGTCTAACGCGGGAGGGAAATCGAAAGTGGGCGGGGTTTCTCCCACTGTGAATTTCGCAGTCCCAGCTTCTGGAGCGATCTTCCCAATTCCTCTAGCGCCCTGAGATCTCCACCGGCCAGGTGCGAATGCATGATCTGAAATTGGAACCGAGAAGATCGCTCTGGAAGCTGGGAGCGTGAATTCACAGTGGGGAGGACCCCGCCCACCCGCTGATTTCCCTCCCGTATTAGAGCCGTTTTTCGCCGTTTTCACGCTCTCCAATGTGCATTTTCGGATTCAGCGTAGCGAATAGGCCCAGGCAAGCAAAAAATCTCAAGATCGAGTTTTTGCCCGGACACTGCCTTTAAACTTCAAGGATCATGTCAAAGCTGATATGTTCATGAAAGTCTTTCAAAGCGTAGAACTGGCGGAAAAAATTTTCAACTAGAAAAGGCCAAAGACTTCTATTCTCTAGGTAGCTAGTACAAGTGAATGTAAGTGAATGTGTAATATATTGAACGAGTGGGAACACGAATGAAAAAATTGCCTTAGTCAATTCGAGATAGAAACTTCTTTTCCTGTTTCAAACTACAAGGGGTTTACCGAATGGATTCCTGCGTTCAAAAGAAATAAAAAGGGAGAGTGAATTTTCATAACTTCATGTATCAATTTTACATGTTTTTGTAACTAATATGGATAATCTGCGATTGAAAAATGAAGTGGAAGTGTTTGGTATATATTGCTAGCATCGTCACTGAAATTAGAGAAATAGAGTACAAGAGCATATTTTGCTGAATTGATGGGAAATTATTTTAGTGATATCGCCCTTTATGAAACTTGTCGAATGGAATTCAGAAAGGATTCGGTGTTGTTCATCATGATTTCTTTCGTACTAATAAATTTTACAAAAGATGTTGCATCGTCATCCTTTCATTATTTAGGATGATTTTCTAAATTGATCTATGTAATCGACGTCATTTTATATACATCCTCATATCGACAGTAGCCTGTGTAATTGCACTAGTTTTGGATATGCTTGGGTATTTGCAAATTCAAAAAGCAACAAAATTGTTCCGTACATCGTCTTCTGGTCACTTTTTCGTCGACTATCTTTCATTACAGACTACCGCTAGCTGCTATGTTTGAAAGTGTAGAGTGGTGCAATTACACATAGCGACTGTTGGAACGACACCGTTTTCGTTACACATTTCTACATTCAAATTAGGTTGATGCAAAAATAATGGCCGTATCATACGCTACCACAGCATGTGATCATAGAAATTTACAAATGAGGTACCAGTCGATAGAGTGAAGCAAGCCCTACAAAGTGACTGCCAGAAAACTATCCAAACGTCTGGTCTAGGTAAAGTTTGACGCCAAAATCTGTAAGCCTTGCCAGCTCAAAAATCGGATCTTAACCCGGAGTTAATCCCACAAGTCTCCCAATTGGTCATCACATAGTACTAGACACATAGTAACGTTCTTTATGCACTTGCTGTAAATTTCTCTCCCTTAGAATTTGAGGAAAAAACGAAAATCGAAAATCGGCGAACTCCGTCTCTAACTCCGCCCCTCTGTTACTCAGGTGTTGTATACCACAAAGTCTCTGAAGCATGACTGTGTAATTTCCGCCTGGTATCTTTACTGATTCTCAAGAAAAGCCACTTTTAGCTTTAAGAACCTATATGTAGTCTACTTTTTCATTACTTTTGCATCAACCTAATATTAAAGGCATTTTTCAAACATGAGCTAGAAAGACTGTACAAACCAGATGAGCTTTTCGTTGAAAAAATCAAAAGCTGACCCTACTTTTCACAGTCTTTGGCTACCTAAAAACTAGTAAGCGGTCATGCTTCTCTGAACTTTGAAGGTCGTCATCGAAAGGGATTACCAATGCGAGTTATTGCCCAGCTAATAAGCCCGAGTTAATGCGAAACCCAAAAGTGCAAAGCAGTGAGGGTCGATCACGAAGCGTTTTGTGTGAGTGAATGCCAGCAACCGTGTTAGAGAACCACGCACACCAAAGAAAAAAAACCAAACAACGGACGCGAATACGTAAAAATCTCGAAAAACCATCTCGTCTACGTTTTTCCAGACGGGGCGGATTTTTGTGCATTCGACCGTGCGAGTAACACACGGCACGTATATATAGAGAGTGAGAATTGATATAAAACTGTTTACACGTTGTGCGTGGCGGCTCGTTGCGATTGCCAGGTGAATAGGTTTTCCTTGCTAGAAAATGCAATTGCTGATCAACCGAGTATGAACTTAAGAAAATCTCCGTATGTCTTAGGTGGTGACTTGTGCCAGTGGATAATAGCCTCTGACTAGTCTCTACGAAAGCAACAGAGGGATAGATCCACAAACACGTGTTCGGTGTGAGCCAAGATGTATAATCACCAACCTGCCACTAGGTCCTCGACCACTTATGAATTTGTACGTGGTGGTGAGAGCACAAATAAAGGCCAGAGCCCAGCATAATGTGCCCAATAAATGCAAATAAAATGCATAGCCGATGCGTTGCTGAAAAACTGGATGTAATTTTGCTACCACCAAATCACTAGAAAATATTAGCACCCCATAATGGACACATAAACAGAAATCATCCAGATTACCCCTCCTCTTCACCGCGGAAAACGTTGATAGTTGAAAAGTGTACATGTTACACAACCACCGTAGTTGAATGTTATTTCATGTGGAAAACAACTTAGTTATATGTATTGCAAGCCAATAATTTTGTGAATCAAAACAAAATACAAACACATTCAGAATCTTGCAGCTGTGGTTTACACTGTTTATATCAGCCATGATAAGTCGACAACGGTCATATGATAGCTCAGAATCGTTCAAATAAAAAGTATGAAATTGCAAAGTTATTTTGAATCATGACGTAAAATGTGCGTTCTTTTCACACTGTCATTCTGATTGGAAAAAATTCGTAGACAGACTTTTCAAACCAAGAATTCCTTCTAGCTCACATGGAGTACGTTCTTTACAGAACAAGAACGGTTTCAAAGAGCCGTTTATTCTTGTAGGTTTCCTATTCAAAGAGTCAGAATAGATAATTGAGTGAATACTGCCCAAGAAGTTATGAACTGTGAACTACAAGAATTCTGGTGAAAGTCGGCAAATAATCATCAAACAAAAATTGCTTTTGGGTTTTATGTAAACTAAAAGATAAAGAAGAAGAAAGATGTCTGTGGTTAATTATGTCAATCAAACTCAATATCAAATGGCTCGAGTTCTCTTACCTCATAGGTTCCTACCATTCCTTGTACAAAACGATTATCGACACGATTTGCTGCCAAGAAAAATACACCATCAGCAATAAGGGAACAAATTACTGTAACGATAACGACTCGCATGAATTTTGCAAAGTATATATTGTATCACAATTGTCAAGAATTTGAAAGATCGAATAAAGCCAGAACTAAACTTACAGGCTATAAAGAGTGAGATCGTGAATACGAAGGCAGTTGGAGGAAAACATGGAGCACAAACTCCAGTACATATAGAAATAAATGCAAGTATTTGTGAAGTAATAATAAAAAACAGAACAGCTTTGTGCCAACCTGGAAATTACGTAATTGAACTGTCTCAAGGAAAATTATTCAATAAAAAATTTATAGAAATTCTCAATTTACCCCAAAACCGATGATGTTCACTTTCACCAGCAGCGCCATCTTCGTCGATATTATTCAGCGTATTTTCGATTACCATTTCAGCTGAGTTATCGAACTAAAAAACAGCGTTGACAATGGGGAACCCAGATGACTAAGTCACAAAGAAAAAGTATAGAACTTACTTTGTACATACAATGCAGAGGTGTCTCATCGTAAAAGTCGCCCACTGCAACGACATGTTTTTCGGCTCTGATGCAGTCCCACCATAAGCCATGCTAAAGTATTAGTTAAAGTTGAAAATCAGTTTTGAGTTTATTTTTAACATCACAAGCTATGAAAATATGTTTTCTGAAATTTTCAAATTTACGATAGAATTTTATGGATTTTTACTACATGTTTTGAAGACATTCAAGTGGAACTTTAACCAAAAAGCTATTCATACGGCCCGCTAAGTCTCAACTACGTTGCAAAATAAACTCTTTTCTGAAATGGGCAAAATCAAAAAACTTCCTGGTAATGAGTATTTGTAATGGGTGTTGAAGAGCCTATGTTCAAAGGATTGAGAAAGAAGTGCGAGCGAAGGCAGAAGAAAGCAGAGATTGAAAAATGAAGACAACTTCTGGTATTTAATCAATTTCTGAGAATTGTACTGCTATCGTAGACAGCATGATACTGCTTTGTTACAACTTTTACGTGCGAGGTAAAAAAAGATTGTTGTTTTCTTTCGGGGAACCGACAACGGAGGGCAAAACAGCAACTAAACATAGCAATGACCATTAGACATCCACTGGCCATTTCTCAACTTCTGGCACACAAATAAAATTCAAAATAACTAAACAACTGGATTTCCTCCATGCCCCTATAAACCCGACACCAGTGCAACGTGAATGACACGTGCAAACATTCATTTATACCTCGGAAAACTCTAGAAAAAATTAGAAAATTGACAAGCCTCACAGATTAAGGGCTTCTAAGTGCATTGTGATGATCTCTTGCGCAAGTTTTGCGCCTTAAGAGAGTGATTTTTTACAGAAAAAACGACTTTTTCTCAGGTAAAGCATGTTCCTGTATTGATACAATCACTTTCATCAGTTTCCCCAAAATTTGTTCCTTACCTAGTAGACAAAGAAGTGAAAAATGTGCGCTCTAGTGTAACTTACTGAATTTTGAAGTGTTTTTTAACAAATTTAGATCGATGTCTTGTAGCCAACGGCGGGATTGTTACAAACTTTGTAAAGTAAAGTTAAACTTTACAAAGTTTGTAACAATCCCGGCGTTGGCTAGAAGACATCGATCTAAATTTATCAACTACTAGCTGGCTTACCCGGCTCCGCCGTATGTTCCGAATAGAAAATTCGATTTCTTAACCGATCCGGACCAAACTTGGCACACATACACTACGGGTCCCGGCGGGTGTCATAGGCTACTTTTCGTCATCGATCGATGTCGATTTTATCGATTTTTTGCAAAATTTGAGCCAGGGGGCTGGAATTTGGCAAAGGGGTGTAATCGGGCATGCTGGGGGTGATCCATGCTCGATTACCCCCCTGTGCCAACTCCCAGCCCTGTAGCTCCAATTTTCAAAAAAATCGATAAAATCGATATCGATCGATGACGAAAAGTAGCCTATGACACCCGCCGGGGCCCAAAGTGTATGTGTGCCAAGTTTGGTCCCGATCGGTTCAGAAATGGAATTTTCTATTCGGAACATACGTACATACATACAGACAGACAGACATACAGACAAACAGACATTCAGCTTTATATATATGCCGAGATTTATCGAGAGTCGTACATGCTGTTTTTTTACAATTTTGTTTTCCTAGAAAGCGTTAAACTTGGGTGCTACAATTTGTCGTAAATTGGAGCCTAATGTCAGCGAGTTATCATAGATCCAAAATTGCGGCCTTTGTGAATAAGTGAGTAAAACTAACAATGAGCATCAAGAACGTTCAGCAGCACTGACGTTTCACTGACGAATTACACAAAAATTAGACTAAATTAATGAAACATTCGGCAATAAATATTATTCGAAAATCCTGTTTTTAGCACTGAAGGCTATCAAACAAAAAAATTGCAAGGTTGTGGGAACGATGCCTTTAAGACTACCTGATGCTCTGCCCTAAACTCTCGGATATCGACCACTTGCCATGCTGGAGAGAATAAACCAGCTATCGTCAGTCCTAATCCAGCCAGTATGAGCACTATTGACAGGGCCAAAAGGCCCTTTTGAGTAGCTGTCATTCAATGCTGAAAAAAGTTGCATTATTGTTAGCGGGTAGGAAGCAAGAAAATCAACAGCTCCAAACGACCTAAACGACCTAACGACCGGTATTTAATGGATGGCACGTCACTTGTTGCCTTCACAGGCGATACAGCATGGATGTTTGACACACACAGCAAATACAAAATGCAAGAGGAACACATCAAAATCGATCTTTGCAAAATTTTGGGAAAACGAAGGGAAGTTTAAAAAGATGATACCAAATTATGGATCACAGAAGGGTGCTTGAATCACTTTGATCAGAAATTAAGAGCTAGCTCTCAACATCCAGAAAGTACTGGTATATACTTGTGTTGGTGCATGATAAAAGTTACCAAAAATTGATATGCAGGTATGCAAATGCCATCTAGAGCAGTATACGATAAGGTTAGGTAGGCGTTTGATACGAGATCAAGACCGCAAATTCAAAAAATTCTATTTGCTTATGTTTCACATGCAAAATTATGGAAATACCAAACATTTTAGTTATTCGATTTAGAGTAAAATTGGTGTACAATCTAGGGGGTTCAAAATGCAGCGTTGGTGGCCCGATAGATTTTCGATGTTTTGTGGATTTTCCATAATAATTTTGATAATATGCATTTGTATTCCTACCAATCACAAACATGTTTTGAATAAGCTCCAATGAAAACTCATAAAACCAAAAAATCATTGAAATTGGTAGGGACTCCATGATGCCAGCTCCCCACCCTTGTTAGAAAAATTTGCCATTCTTTATAGAATCCTAGCTGGAGTGGTCTATCGTATAAGGCCTCGGCCATACTTCACGCGATTTCAGTCGCGATTGGCAATTCTCCAACTGTGTATAATTCATTCTGAGGGCATTCGAAGGGTACAGATAGAGCATTCTATCAATTCGCAAAAATTACGCCAAGCATCAATAGCCTGCCAACGTTGGATTTGAAGAAATCTGGCAAACTGCCAGATCGCGTGAAGTATTTCCGAGGTCTGACACTGCTATACAGCACCCCTTACTGAACTACGCTGGTTGTAGCTTAGCCTTGCTTCCAAAAAAGTGCCAAAACCCCAATTACAAATCGGCAGACATAGCCGATTTCATATATGTGTAGAACATGAAACGGGAAACTCTTCGTAAGAAGGAATAGTGGCTAAAACGACACAAAAATCAGATGACTGCATGTTTTACCCATTTGATCAATCAGAACTCGACAAATCCTGTGAAGTAAGGGATAATGGTAATATTCCACCATTCCCAATAGCTCTTCCTATTTTCTTTAGACATACGAACAAAGAAATAAACAGTTCGTCATCAAATGCCATTGTTTTCATTGTGATAAATACAAATTTATCGAGCAAATGCAAAAATTTCTAAGTTTCCAGCTTGTTACCATCGACCCAAGACGCTACATAAGAATGTCGATTATTGATGTCAGCTCAGTGACTTGGTACGTGGTCAGAAAAAGGGACGATTTATAATATTATATATGCGATAACCTAGGTTTACACGAATGCAATGTTAAAAATTTGTTTTGTCCCATCAACTTCAATTATTAGACATATTTGAGAAGTTCAAAGAAATCCAAACCAACAACCAAACTATCAATTTGTGAGCTTTGGCTAGTGCGTTGAACTTAGAACTTGAACTGAGAACCTACAAAACAAAACTAGTGGAAAGTCGAATGGGAATAAGAAAACTGAAAATGCCTTTAAAATGCTTGAGATACCATGAATTCTTCAGTTACATAGATAGAGGGAAGCTAGTAGACACAAGAAATTCAACTTTCTGATTTACAAGCATTCAAAAAAACTACACCGAGGTTTGCACAAATATGTAATGGCAAAATTAGTATCAAGCAGATATTAACGAGTGCATTTAGCAATGCAAAGTGCAAGTACAAAGAGTTTAGTTTGAATACTTGCAGGTCTCGTGCATAAAAATGTTGTAACTCGTGTTGATTAACCTCAAAGACTTTCAAAAAATAAACAATTCTATAGTCTTAAAGATAGATTTCCCAGTAGCAAATGGATTTGAAAGAGATCGGATTGATTTTGCGTTTGAGATGAACATGATGACGAAAATTACTGAGTAGATTGCGATAAAATATGTAGTAGAAATAAGCATATTTGCAAAGATTTTAGAAAAAGCATAGTGAATACACTAATCGCTGATGCATGCTGGTCAGTTTTGAAATGAACGATGTTCTCATGCATTGGAACCAAGAACAGGATTATTGCAATATGGACAAGGCATAAAGATTGAGATTATAAGGACATAAAAATTGCGGAGTAATGGACTTGAACAATATAACTGCACGTATGTGAATTTGTGATCAAAAATCAATAAAATGGCTTTCAAAAACAAAGAATCAGATTGATCTTTGATTTCTCTGAGAGTGATGTTTAAAAAAATCATAGTTTTTGGACATCACTAGCCTCAGAAACAAGTTTTCTAAAAGAACAGAGCTACAACCAAGTTAACGTCGATCAGCGGGTCAGCAGATTCCATCGTAACATCGGGTACATTCACGAGATATACGAGTTTCAATTTTATAGGATGGAATTATGTTAGTCAAAAGAATTAAAAAAAACCATTCTGCGCTTGACATAATTGAAATACTTTATTAAGAGGAAAAAGTCGTCAATTAGTTCGTAGATTTTTTGGAAAACCTGCAAATGTCTTTTTTATAATGCGGGAGGCACAATCAAACATCAAACAAACTGCAATAGGCTTTTGTATTTCTCGACTTTCTCAAGAAAACAGTTAATAAGACTTTCAAAATGCATAAGCTTTAGGATATCCATGGAAGAAAAGTGGATCAGCGAATGGTTGAATGCATACCATATTGGCATGAAGGTATCGTTGCACTATTTCCCAAAAATTCTAAAAAATATCAGAAAAGTTTTACTTTTTCTTCCTCGAAGATAATAAAATAACTATTAATTGTTCCATATAATTGTAGTGTTTTCACAAAAGCAGCTCAGATGCTGCTTACAGAGCGCATGACTTACTTCTTAAAATTAGAATCATGCATAGGTTAAGAAGTCAAGAAGCTATGGTTTTTCTGAGATGAGATAGAGTTTGCGTCCAGCCCAATACAATAGAATGTGTAATACATAAGAGAGGAATCAATAAATAAACATCTGTGAGCACTGGCAAGTTCAGAGAGGATTTTCCAGAGATAAAAACAAAAGGAAAAAACGTTCGTAACGTTCAGCTACTAACGCTCGTCTCGTAATCGATGCAGCCTCGCGCTGAAATTCGGCTTAAGGTGGTTTCGCCGTTGAAGGCCGATTTGACTATAATCAGCACACCGGGCAGTAGCGGCACCGTCGACAGTGACAGAGCACGGCAACCTGTCCCACTCTGTCACACGGCGACACAAAGCACAGAGAAAAGATCGATCCTCAAACTGTGTTTGATGGCTGAGTCATGAAGTGAAAACCACCGTATCTTCCGCGATCAAATGGCTGGATAAGATCGAAATGGAGGAAGAATTTCGAGAATGAAATTTGCAGGCTATCTGGACAAGAAACGTCGTGAAAGGGATCAACAATCTCTGAACGACCATTGATTTGGGCGGAGTAGGCGACTCATGTAAATACAGCACTGAATCGTTACAAGTCCCCTTCTTAAAGGAACTGACATAGGAAGTCGTAAAGGCATTGAAGAATAGGCAACCGAATAATAGCTTGTAAGTTTGATTCTCGACATTTTTTTCATAGCTTCAATCTTCTCCATTGATCAGAAGATAGGTTTTTATTTTATGACCCAGCACCTTGCTCAACTTGTGGAAGATTACGGTATTGTTACAGTACAAAGACAGATGGTTTTAGTAATCACTCCTGATCTGAGGTATGTATGCCAGCCAGTGGCGGTACCAGGATTTCCGTCCGGGGGGGGGACGAAATTTTTTTCTAATGAAAGTTTTTGGGGTGCTTCAACGTCTAAAATCTGGAAAAGGCGGTGTGGCGTCAGCCACGCCCCCGAAAGAAATTCTTTTACAAGGCTAATTTAAATTTTTAAAAATTTTTAAAAATTATTTTAATTGTTTACCAGAATAAACAAGTCATTGCGCATTTTTATAACCCATATAAGTAATTTTCAAAAATTTCGCAACCCATTATCGGGGGTGGGGGCGCACCCTTCCCCCGCCCGATAACGCCCCCCCCCCCCTCCTTCGGTCCGCCACTGATGCCAGCTACTAATGATGCAATAATCAACTTTTTATGCATACTTTTTATCTCGTAGTAAAATGTAATAATTGCTAGTAACAGTGCTGCAAAAAGCATAGATGCATAGATTGCTTTGTAAAAGGTTTCATTCTGATTCTACGAGAAAAAACTTTGAAAATTATTTACAGACCGAGCATTTGTTTCGACCTAGCAGCAGATCCTAACAGACCAGTAAAACAGATGGATCTACTAGTGATATATAATTCTTTGCGGCTTGCACACATCAGAGTGGAGCATGAAACGGATGTAAATCAAACAACGTTCACTAATGTTATAAGACACTTGATCTTTGGTTTTTAGGCTAGCAACTCAAAAAATTACTTCCTCCGCTTTAAACAATTCATCTGACATACTAGTGGTGCAGGTAAAAGAAACATATGTTCGCAATACATAAAGTGGGTTTTTCTCACGCCTTTATGACTCTGAGCAAGTTTGCCAAGTGGTAACGGCACCTAATACATGTCTTTTTGTCCCAGCAATCTGCTTTGATGACTACATTCATAAGCGAATAATAATAGGAAGTTCGCTAGAATGATGTCAGCGGAAGCACTAAAATGCAATGGCTCTACCGTTATTTCCTTACAATAATGATGTGCGCATACAAAAGTTAAAGTCGGTAAAGGCGAATCATGAGACGAGACCCAGAATTTGTTGAAAATTACTGCGTTTTTGAGAAAATTCTCAGCGTATAGTCAAAAAAGAGCCAAAACCAATTTTCTTCATTAATCGCGGATTTTTCAAAAAAAAACTGCAGCGAAAAAAAAATTAGGAATA